TTTGTACACAACACCCACAGCAAATGCTTTTTTGTTTATTTTAACCCTAACCCAAAGTTGTTCAAGGCCCTCTTGTGTTGCAAAGTTAAAATCAGATACTTGGAAGCAATGCAGTCCTTTTCTCACATAGAGAGCGACTCCACCGCCTCTCCTATCTTTCCTGTCACATCTAAACAACTGAAATCCTGGAACATGGATATCATTATCAATGATGTGTGGTTTCCGATGATATCAAAATTTTGCGACAACACATAATCTTTAACATCACAAAAACAGCTAGTAAGTGATCTAATATTTACACATCCTATGATCAAATTATGCTCTCCGCCTTCGATGACATCAAATTCTGATAATACAGTCATTTTAAAATACAACAAAAAAAACACAAATAACAGATTAAAAAAAGATAAAAGGATAAAAAATGGAATTTTTTTTAAAAAGTTTGAGATAAAGTTGAAGTTGAAATGGGATAAACTTCCAGTAAAAAAACAGAGATTAGATAAAATGCACTTTCGAAGTAATTTGTCTTACTTCGTATAAGACCCTCATGTTTTTGCAAACACAGACAATTGCTATCCCACACAGCATGGTTCGTATCTAGCGTTTTATCTTGTTTTTCATTAATAGACAGACAGTTTGCACAGCATGACGATTTGCTTTTACATTGCTTCCGTTCGTGACTGCGTTATCTAAAATTTTAGAAAAGGCGGTGCAGTTTCAAGTACAATTGTATGTTGAAGACAACGGTATTGTTTCTCTTAATCAATCAGGATTTAGGAAGCAGCACAGTACAACCTCTGCGCTACTGAATCGGGCGTCCCTCAGGGTTCCATACTAGGTCCAGTATTGTTTTTGATATTCACTCCTCTTGTTCGCAAGATGCTGCTGTTCTATTAGAGCAGAATCTGAGCAAAGTGCAAAACTATTCAAGTGACCACAATCTAACAATTAATCGAGATGCAAACGCAAATGTTACTATTTTGCTCAGAAGCAAGGAGAAGAAATTTGAAGAATTCATTTAAAGTGCATCTAAATGGTTCACTGTTAGAACTAACACATTCAGCTAAGATTCTAGGGGTTGAAGTAGACAGCAAATTAAGGTTTATGGGCCATGCCATGTCACTAACTAAAAAGACATATGCCAGAATGAGACCACTGTTTGCCAATCGCCATCTTCTAAATTATAAATTGAGGAAAAAATTGTGCGAGTCTCTTGTTATGCCAATCTTAAATTATTGCGATATTCTGTACTATCCATGTCTAGACCAGTTCATGAGGAACCGGCTGCAAATTATTCAAAATAATTGCATCCGTTTTATCCATGGGCTGAGAAAATTTGACCATGTTAGCGAGAGGTACCATTGTATGAAAAGGCTAAAAATTGGCAAGCTAGTTGAGTACAAGTAGGAGCATAAGAGACCGCAAAATAATCAGAATACCGCCTCACTCTACCTGATATTGGAGCAGTATCTTTTCTTATGTATATATGTATCTAAATATTATATGTATGGGTGTATATATGTATAGGTGTGTATGTATATACAGGGTTATCCAAATTAAGTGTCCACCATTAGTAACTTTGTTATTAGTGAAAATACAAAGTTGTTTGAATTAGCAAACTAGTAGCATTTTTAACGCTGGTAAAAATGAGAAATAAAAAAAAACAATTGAGAGTCGTTATTTGGATTTTTTTCAGTAAAATAACATTTTTTTAAATGGAAACCCCTGTATATTATATTTTTTTCTGTTAAAGCATCAAATTTTAAACAAAAAAGTTCATAATGACTTTTCCGCTAAAGTCAAAAATAAAGTCAAAATAACGATAAATATTTTTAATTATTTGCAGTATCATAATATTAAGACGGCTATGAAAACAACATGGCGTTCGCGATTTGACAGCATTAAGATAAGCGACAAATTGTTAAACTGGACATACTCGCAACTAGAAGGCTTTGGAAAACAATGATAAAATCAAATAATGTCAAACATTAGTGTAAATACTTGTTTATAAGCTTTATTGTGTCATTAATTTAAAGAAAAATGTTCTCCCATGAAGAAAAGTGTGATATGTTAGAATGCTATTTAGTGTGCAGAAAATCCTCCTTGAGAGCAAGAGAATACTACAGTGAATTATATCCCGCTCGCATTCAACCGTATGAACGATATTTTCTGAGACTTTATCGAAAATTTAGGGGCAACGAAAATGTTTTTGCTAAAACAAGGGCAAAAAAAGAATTCATAATAAGCGAGGCCACGGAAATTGCAGTTATTGGATATTTTGAAGCTTATCGTGAGAATTCAATAGCAGATATTCTCAAGGACTCTAATTTCAGTTATGGTACTGTTCAAAGGATTTTAAAAAAATACAAATTTATTCCGTATAAGTACCGACCAGTTCAAACGCTTTTGGCAGGGGATCCAGAGAGAAGACTTGTTTTTTGCCATTGGTATCTTAGCTTCTGTCGCCAAAATGTAAATAACTTTCGTTACCTTTTATGGACAGATGAATCAAATTTTTCAAATTCTGGAATGTTTAATAGAAAAAACCACCATTATTGGTCAAGAGAAAATCTTTTGTTAGTACATCCAAGAGGCCCACAAGTCTGTTTCAGTTTCAACGTTTGGTGCGGTATAATTGGTTCAAAAATTGTTGGCCCGTTCTTTTATGAGGGAACCCTAACTGGTGAAAGATATGTGGAATTTATGTCAGAAATTCTGACTAATTTCTTAGACGAATTGGATCTTATAAGTAGACATCATCTGCATTTTCAGCAAGATGGCGCACCTGCCCACAACTCCAGAGGTACTTATCATTTTCTAAGTACTACTTTTAATGATCAGTGGATAGGAACAAATGGCCCAATACAGTGGCCTCCCAGATCACCAGATCTAAACCCACTTGATTACTTCTTGTGGGGTTACTTAAAGAACCAAATTTACAAGCGAAGGTACGATAACCTTGACGCGTTAAAGACTGCAGTTAGGGAAAAGATAACCCAGATAGATGGTAGGACCATACTTAAGACAGTTCGAGCAGTTGAAAAACGTGCCCAAAAATGTATTGAAGAACAAGGTGGTGTTTTCGAGCATCTTCTTTAAAAAAAATTGTTATTGTATTTTGTAAGATTATAAGTTGATGTTGAAAATAAAGTTTGTCGATACAATTTAATTGTTTCAGATTGGAGGCCATAACTTCAACAATTTGTAACCTAGGAGAAAAGTTATTGTAAGCTTTTTTGTTTAAAATTTGATGCTTTAACAGAAAAAAATATAATATACAGGGGTTTCCATTTAAAAAAATGTTATTTTACTGAAAAAAATCAAAATAACGACTCTCAATTGTTTTTTTTTATTTCTCATTTTTACCTGCGTTAAAAATGCTACTAGTTTGCTAATTCAAACAACTTTGTATTTTCACTAATAACAAAGTTACTAATGGTGGACACTTAATTTGGATAACCCTGTATAATGTGTATGTATGTATATGTGTGTATGTATATTTATATTTGGGCATCCATGTACATACTGTATATAGTTGTGTATTTTAGTTTATAGTATAGTTTAGTTATAACTATTATTTTTTTATGACATCTTAGGCAACGCACAATTACATCGTGCTCTAAATGTACTGACAAAGATAGTCAAGTGTAAGAGTAGCCTAGGCTAAACTTGGCTATCTTCGTCCCTCACATGTACAACAAGTAAAGGCGTTATTATTATTATTATTATTATCATTATTATCATTTGATAGCCCAGTCACCATTGTGACCCCTAGAGACTGACGATTCTGGCGGTATAGTTTATGTGGTCTACTCGCCATTAAACAAATAAGCATGCTGCTTTCGTCCGCCAGACCGTAGACAGAAAAACCATCGACACTAGTGGTGGATTCTGGTAAAAGGTGGCGCTTTGTGCTTTTGTGATAGAGGATAGTTGCTGCAGATTTGCTTACTTTTGATGACAAGGGGAGAGGGGTTAATGATTGTGAAAAAATCTGCTTACGTAGTACTTGAACGTCCCCCAAGAAGCGAGTTTTCGTCTAGATCACAGACAGGCAAGAGATTTGAACATTTTACCATAGAAAACTTCGAAATGTTATAGAATGTTGTAAGGCAAAATTTCTCCACAAAATCATAAAGGATGTGGGACGTGTGGGACTCCATCAGATTTGGAATTTATGCATCAAGCTTAGCCCAAGAAACAATTTTTTTTCCAAGTTCGCCACCCGTTGTTGTAAGTGAACAGTATCTAGTAATTTGAGCCTCTGAATGCGAATATGGCTATCAAAAAATTCTGAAGCGTCGTTGGATCGACTTTTTGGTGGAAAATGAGACGTCTGGGACTGTTGATCCCAGCACGCAAATAACGTCAGATACTGAGTCAAAGCATCTGATTTATTCACGTCATTACGGAGACTAATGCATTTTTCAAAATTCGTCTTTAGAAATGAACGTGGCAGATTTGTAATAAGCAATTCAAAATCTCTAAACTACATTTTTACATGTTTTCCGAGATATTGTCACGACTATAACATGGGGGTTAGTTTGCTCTGGGTTGAGCAGACTCGCTGGTATGGAGGCTTAAATAATAACACAAAAAAATATATCAGAGTGTATTAACAAAACGCCGCGCCGTACAATAGAATGAAACAGGTACTTACTTTTTGGCCCAGGTGAAGTCCCACGAAGAAATTTTCGCTCCGAGTTATCTCAGGGCGGGAATCCTCCTACGTGTCGGTCGATCCAGTTTTTATAAGCAGATAGAACCCCCGCCGCCGGCAAATAATATACCTTATACCTTTGCAGATTATGCATCATTTGTCGATGATGTGCACATTTCTCAGCGGACGCGGTTTAGGATATCTATCGACCTATATGGCGCTTATGTGGCGCGTGTAAGGCGTTACAGGGTGACCACTCGTGGCAATATCAACCCTCTTTATTCTGTTCTGAGCTAGACGATTTGATACCTACCGTTTTTTTCATTGTTTTTTTTTCCAGTGAGGGCCTACGACAACGCGACCACTTGCGGTTTGGTATGGACGCCGAACTTCGTAGCCTACCGATGCCGAACTTGTGGCATCTCGCCGTGCATGTCCTTGTGCACGGAATGCTTCAAGAAGGGCAACCATGCCAGACACGACTTCAACATGTTCCTCAGTCAGGCTGGAGGAGCGTGCGACTGCGGTGATACTTCTGTCATGAAGGAAACTGGGTATGTAGTCACCTATTATCTTTATCAAGATCTTTCTATTCGCTCTTTGGAGGACTTTGTTCATCTGGGCTCCCTTTCAATAACGCCGCCGAGTTCTAATCTTGACAAGCGAACCCTCCAAGCCTCTGCTTTATATTTTATCTTTCAAGCTTCCTAGATTAGGAATTTACCAGTACAACTAATCCCTTATTTCTACGGCATCGAGAATGTGGAACAAAATTTATTTTTTGCGACCTAACAGTTTTTCGAATTCCGCACGATTTTTCATTATTATTTTTTAAGGCCTATCTGAAAGGAATGGAATCAAACTTCAGGAAGAGATCATGTAGCGAAGGTGGTAAGGATAACAAAAACAGAAATATTAATGATATCAGGATATATATGTAAACAATTTTTCGCCACGAAATTTTGGTTTTGCCCTGGGTTTTGTTTTTTTTTTAATTAATTAACGATGCAACAATTAAACTGAGCCTGCCTCGACATTATGGTCCACTTGAATTATATAGAACGCCCAAACAAAAAGCCAGAAAATATTTTCCAATTTCTACTGACTGGGCAACAAAAAAAAAATTCTTTACGTAAGCGCAGGGGTACGTCAAGGATCAGTATTAGGTCCGATCCTATTCTTAGTCTCAATCAATGATTTAATAAACTTAAACATAAATTGTAAATTTGTAGTTTTTTCTGACGACTCCATAATATTTTGGCAAGACTCAGATATAAATGAATTAAAATATTGACAGTGATATACAATCAATCAAAAATGGTGTGCTAATAATGACTTGAGTTGTAATCTTAATAAAACAACATTTATGACCTTTAAATGCTCCATTGATTTGAGTGTTTATTCTACAAACACGAACTTTCAGATATATAACTTAAGCAATCCTAGAGTTACGTGTGGGCCTTTGTTTGTAAATCTCAAAATAATGACTGTCGTGTCATTGTTCATTTTAGAAACAGCAACTCCTATTTTCAAAATAAATTTAAATTCGAAACATTAAATACGAGTCACAATATTAGACGGAAACAAGATCTACTTTAGTAGTACCTAAATCAACACTTGTAAAAGACTTAATAATTTATACATGTCTGAAAATTTACATGTGTCTCCCTGATACTATCAAAATAATTAACAATTTAAACATATTTCGCCGTGAAATTGACTTTTTAATATGTAAACCTTATTATACCATGCATGAATTCTACAATTTCCCTACTTAAGATAAACATATTTGATCTTGTTATAGTTTAGTTTCAAGTTAGCTTTGCCATTAAGAATTATTGTATTCTTCAGACAATAAAGCATGTCTATCTATCTATAATAATACAGCTAAGCGCCGTATGGTCAATCGTGATTAAGCTTAATTTTCATAGATGTTTTTAGACCTTCAGAAAGGCAGGGGTATTGTTAGATTACTTTTCTGTGTCAGCGCTCTATTTTGAGGTTATGTTACAAATATCTGTTTAATCAAATTTTTCATGCTCTTGATTTATATCGTCTGTTTTATCAGCCTGAAGTTTCCTGCAGTTCAAAAAGAAAACACAACCTCACAATATGAGAGCACTGACACTGACACAGAACAGTCGAAATCTTGAAATACCCCAGCCTTTCTGAAGGAGAGAACAGACTATGAAGACTATATAGTCTATCCTGGTGTTACATTTGATCCATCTAGTTTTAATCTTATCTTGCCAATACATGAAACCACCGGTGATACATCAACGACTTACGTTTCGACTGCGTACAGACAGATCATTTTTATGTAGAACTAGTTTTTTCATAATATCTTTCTCACAAACAAGCCATGTATTTTATTTCAGCTTCTGTGATCGCCATGGGCCCAACAAAGGCTCGTCCAGCAAGAAGGCCCCCACCGACTTAACCTGCGTCGCTGAGGCCATGATGCCACGCATCATCCTAAGGCTGGTTCAACACCTGCGGGAAAATGGCCGAGCCGGTGCATCTCCGGACGCGTACAAAGGCGCCATTCAGGACGCTGACGGTTTCATCACCATGCTGCTCGATTTCAACAACATGGGAGGGCTGATGCGACGGGTCATCACTGCCGCACTCACTAACCCGCAGGTAGAGTGAACAGTAGACGTTTTTATTAAATGTGTAGGCAGTAAATAACAGATAGGTCATGTCAGTTGCATAGAAGAACAAAATTATATACATGAAAAAGACAACACATTCACGATACAATTGTCAAACAACATGTTAGTATAAAGAATAAAATACAAATCATAAAGGTTATATGCCCATCAGAGGGATTTAATAAAATCAATAAATTCATGGAGTGTATAAGTAGTGCGCTCAATTAGCAGTGCTTTCAACTGGATAGGGCAAACCAACATCTCGATAGTCAACAATTCTACCCCTGTCAAAGGGCAAAGGGAAATAACTAAAAATATCTGTACTACTCAGCTCTCAGAACCTGATTTCTTCACAAAAACTTTTAACAAAGGTAAACAAAAACAAAGATAAAACGTTGGCATTATTGCCACAGCATGCTTCAAATATGTCGCCAAAAAAGCAAGTTGAAATTATTTTTTCTGGGTGTAACACTTCTAATGCGACTGAGTATATTTGTTAAAATAGGAAGGCAGGGGGACATGGTCAGGTTCACTGAGAGCAAAAGCGATATGATCAAAAATAGATAACGGATATCCTCGTATGTCTATATTCGTCGTTTATGTCATTTGATTGCTGACCTCATACAATAACACATTTTATTATCTCTGGTCAAGAAGGTACATTTATGTATTTATGACTTAAACAGGCACAGAGGAAGACAAATAAACAAAGGTGATATGAATAAAAAATCGAATAACAAATATTTAATGTGTATTTTCAAGGAAGAAATGCTAATAATTCATTTATTATTCAATAAAAACAAGAATATGTAAAATTAGCACCCGCTACTATCAAATATAAATAAAAGCTACTCCCATTGTAATTCAGGCTCTCATAGGGTGATTAAAGCAAGAATGGCACCACTTATAGATGGGGTTTGGAATTACATGATATCCTGCTAAATTCAGGATAGTTACCTAAGGTATCTTTTTACTTCTTACACCAACTGACGAGGAAGTAGTGTAATCACGAAAAATTCCTAAAATGGTGTTTTGGGTGTTATGTTGTTAAACAACATATCACGCATTTCCGCCGGTCTATCTTTCCGCTAATTCTTGTCTCTGCTTGGAACTTGGAAACTATCACTCGGATTTTTATGAAATTTATTCATTTATTTAATCCTTGTTACAAATACTAAACAGTCTTGGCTCAAAGAATTACATTGTAATGTTCTTAACACTTCGTTTAAACTCATTCACAGGAGTTCCAAATACTTCTAAACTAGATTTATATCTATTACCTAACCTAAGAAGACGAATTATGGGTTCATTCAAACCATAATTTGTTTTATGAAAGGGTACAAAGAAAGTATCAGTATGTCGCGTTCTCCTACCATTCACATTAAGTGAAATTTTTCCTAACATCTGAGGACAGTCAATGTGACCATTGATAATTTTGTGCGCGAAAAGTCAAACTCCAACCTAAGTCGCTAAGGATAGGTTATGTTCATGTAGAGAAGAGTATCAGTATAGCTATACTCCTCCAAAATGAAGCTCATTTTATATCCACAGTTTCTCAATAACTTTTTCTGCACAGGCTTTAATTGGTAAGCTATAACTTGGGGACCAGATGGATCAACAGTACCCAAGTAACGAACGAACCAAAGAACAATACAAAATTTAAAAAGAAAAAAGTGACAGATCAACACAATGCCAATTTATAAAACCTAACATTACACACAAGGTTACTACTGTGCCAGAGACGAAGCTTTATAGTTTCTGAAAATCGATCCAGTGGTGGTGGAGCTTCGGGCAAAAGAAAACGAAGAAATAAAAATCGACTACGTTTTTTTGATGATTCAGAAGCTCCTGATCATTTAAAAAAAATGCTTAGTCATAGCAACGTTTCCAGATAGTCAATCTTGTCAGTAGGGCAGGGCAGAAATTGCTGGATTGCATCGTTGTTATACGGGTGGGGAATAATTGTACCGTCCCGTTTTGCCTAACTTGATTCATTAAATGTTCTGTTTCACATGTTTGTATCTAACTTTTTCTCATGAGGGGCTAATTTGTGCCCTTTATAAACTGATGGGAAGTGCACAATCAACCGACTTGACTCCATTTTTTCACTATTTACATGTTCGTTCCATTGCTGTCCTGTCTCTTATCACTGTAAGCTTTCTTCATTTATAATGATCGTTTCAGAAATATCGCGTACTCAACGAAGTACCCGAGAACCTGGACACCGAGTACGCCCAATACCAGCAAGAATCGCGTCGTATTTACGAGGAAGCTGTCAAATCGTTGCCGAACCCGAAACCGTCCGACGAGTTCCAAGACTGTCCCTCCCTCCAGGAAAACCTCGTCCATAAAACCTTCCTCGAAGAGCTGGTCTTCTGGACTGTCAAGTTTGAGTTCCCTCAAAAGGTAAGTGAATAACTAGTGGTAACCTTCTTGGACCTGTATCTGGATTTCTAAGCATGCCCGCCCCGTATGCTTATTATTGTCTTTTTCACGAGTATCTGTTACGATAGAATATCAGCTGATTAGTAATATTTCAAAATTCCCTCTATCGATAAATAACACATAATTCTGAGGGATCAGTCATCGCTAGGTAGGCAGAGCAGTATTTTGTTCTGGTTTTTTGTACGCTGCAGATTTAATAGATCAAAAAAGTTAGGGCCTATCATCAAGCATCAAAACGCATGTTTTTTAAATGAGTAGTACAATCAAAATAAGTATGGGAGAAAATATTTTATTATATCAAAATACTCAGAAATACATGCCATTTTTTTGAGTAAAACAAAATTTCGGCCAGCATCCGTGCAGGAATTTGGGTTACTTCTCTTCTTATTTCCTCCTCAAATCGACGGGGGTCCGAGACTTGCTTTGGTAAACTTTTGATTTCAGGTAGCCCCATAAAAAAATCACACGTTGACGGGTTCGGGGAGCGAAGGAGCCATGGAATATCGCCATGGCGTTAAATGAGACGTCCTGGGAATTTTTGCCGAAGAAGTTCCATCGAAGTGCGAGCTGTGTGAGATGTTGCCCGTCTTGTTGGAACCACACTGTTTTGAGACGGACACGTCGACGTCGAAGTTCCGGAAAAAAAGTTGTTCAGCATGTTAATGTAACGCTCTTAATTCACAGTTGTTGTTTCTCCATCATCCACAAAAAAATAAGGGCCAATAATCATCGTTGGGCCTACTGCACACCAAACTGTAACTCTCGGTGTATGCAGGTGGTGCTCATGCAACTGTGGGGGGTTCACTGGAGACCAATATCGACAATTTTGTTTATTGATGTATCCATGTAAATGAAAACGTGTTACATCATTCATAAATAACGACATGTCATTGTTATCCAACTGTTCAATCATTAGTTGTGAACAATTAACACGTTGTGCATAATACCCTGGCAAATTATTGACAAACTTGGATTTTGTAAAGATGGAACACTAAATCCTTCTTCAAGATGCGACGTACAGAGAACGCGTGGATCGATAAGAAACTTGCACGCAATCGGACAGAACGATTCGGGCTTTGCAGCCTGTCAACTTTCTCTTTGTCTACGTTTTCGAGGGTTTTAACAGTACGGTTTCGCCCTGGCGGTTATTTCTTCATCCCATTACCTGTTGTGTTGAATGCTTCCACCCATCTCAAAATGGTTACGGTCTAGTGATGTCCCACGACGTGGAACACAAAAGTGAACGCGAAACTCATGTTTCGTTCGAACGACAGACTCGCCATTTTGAAAGTACCGTTGTACAGTGAACACACGATGCTCAACGTTCCAAATCATCTTGCCAACTGAAACGGCACTTCTCCCACTATCCAACACGCCCTTCCCCACCGACACGGGACCAGCCCACTCGATGTAGTACCCATTCGAAAAACATGCGTTCTTTCTGACGGACCCTGTATTTGACAGTCAAAGTATGGACCAACCTGACCAACTGAAAAAGCTAATTGTAGTATACATTGGTAGCGATATCTCTATGTTTCGGAAACATCGATTTACCATCGATGGTCGTGTTTGCATGCATTATTATACTTTCCAACACAATGTTGTGTGTGTGTGTAGTCATTGTTTTTAAAATCTCGTACATATACCGCATACTTTTGGCCACCTTGAGTGCAAGTCATCGATTATAATGGGTGATTTTTTTGCTAGTATCTTTTTGGCAACACTGTTTTTGACAGATGACGCGTGAATCGTGTCTTGTGTCATTGTCAAACTTGTTCAGTTTGATCTATAATTTAACCATGAATCGAACAACGCTTGCAAATTATTGAATTTTACTATCAACATTCATGCTCGGTTAAGAGAGTGCATCGAGAACTGCTTCCAATTTATGGGCAATTTGGTCGGCCTACTGAGGAAGATATTCGGAAGCTTGTGACTAAATTTCGAACCCAGTTTACATTATTGGACATTAAACCACCAACACGCAGACATAGAGTGAGGACTGAAGAAAATATTGCGGCTGTATCCGCCAGTGTTAGTGATGACCATGAAATGTCGATTCGCCGCCGTTCGCAGCAATTGGGCCTCTGTTACTCCACTACATGGAAAATTTTGTGACAGGATTTGGGTGTAAAACCTTATAAGATACAGCTGGTGAAACGTTTCCATTTTGGTGAATGTGCGCTGGCAAAGTTGGAGGAAGATCCACATTTTTATCGAAAAATTGTGTTCAGCGACGAAGCTCATTTCTGGTTGAATGGGTACGTTAACAAGCACAATTGCCGCATCTGGAGTGAAGACCAGCCAGAAGCATTGCAAGAGCTACCAATGCATCCCGAAAAAATCACTGTTTGGTGTGGATTATGGGCCGGTGCGATGATAACAAACCTTTTTTGCCCAAAATGGAAGAGCTGGACTTGGCTGACATGTGGTTTCAACAAGACGGTGCCACATGCCACACCGCACACGAAACCATGGCCCTATTGAGAGGCGAGTTCGGTGAACAGTTTATCTCACGTTTGGGGCCCGTCAATTGGCCGCCTAGATCGTGTGATTTAACGCCGTTGGACTATTTCTTGTGGGTCTATGTTAAGGATAATGTCTACAGGGATAAACCAGTAACGATTGACGCACTGGAAGCCAATATTGAAGCATTTATTCGTGAGATACCGGCCGATATGTTGGAGAGAGTGTGCCAAAATTGGACCTTGCGCATGGGCCATCTAAAGCGGAGCCGCGGCCAACATTTACATGAAATAATCTTTAAACATTAAATTATATCGACCGTTCTATCGACTCAAATAAAGATTTTTTGAAAATCAAATCCTCTTAAAAAATCACTCGTTACTACACAGTAGTGAATTTTTCAAAAATCGCATGTCGGCCTGAGAAATCGCAATTTAATGTGAAGATGTTATCACATCCTATCGGACATTTTTATATGAACCTTGACAAGGTAATACATTTGTTGTTGGTTCTTTTTTTGTAGTGAAGCATTTCCTGCAAAATGGAGTTCACAGAAATCTGTTCAAATATGTCCAGAGAAGCGTTGTCTTTAACAAGTTAGTATTTCTCCAAAAATTAAAAAAAAACCTTTCCAGGTGGTTTGTTTGCTGTTGAATATGCTCCCGGATCCAGACTACAAAGAAGCGCTTACGAGAGCGTTCGTTCTTCACTACAGTAGGATATCCATGATGTTGGAGCGATCTGCAGATCCAGATACGTTAAGCAACAGGGTAGTCCATGTCAGCGTCCAGCTGTTCTCCAATGAGAGTCTGGCGCTTAGAATGACAGAACAGCTGAATTTGCTGCATGTCATGGTCATCAGTCTCAAGTATATGATGAATAATATACTGATCAGGAACACATTACACAGTAAGTCTCTTTGGCAAAAAAATAGTGTAGTTCTAGGTTTTAATTTATATTCATCAAAGTATAGACACAAGCTGTAGGTTCTGTTCACCAATGCATACTTAAGTTTTTTTTTTGTTTTGGGTGATTGCTCATATTTATTTTCAGATGCAGACGACAACTGTCACTATGTAGTCGACTGTGCAAAGCCAGTGATGAAGGATCACTGCTACTGGCCACTGGTATCCGACCTGAACAATGTGCTGTCTCATAGACCTGTTGCGCTAAAATTCATGTCCGACGATTCTCTGTTGGAGATGTGGTTCGCCTTCTTGTCAATGTTCCAAGGTAAGGAATAAAAATCATCTCAAATCTCAACACGTGTAAAGACGATTGGCTTAAAAAATTAGTGTCAGATAGTTTGACTTTTTCCATCTACACACCAAGCTTCTCCATGGTCTATCGAAATAGGGTCATTTTTTGTTTGTAGGAACGAGTCTCTCTTAGATTTAATTATTGCATCTAATCAACTACAAACTGCCAAGGTTTCAGTGTATGACATAAATGTATCAGATCACCTGCTAACTGAGTGTCATTTTACTTTTAAGGATGTTGATCTTTGCCATAAATTTATTACGTATAGGGACTGCAAGCATTTTAATTTGGATGTCTTTACTGCAGATCTGAACCAGATTGATTTTCACAGCATGTACTATACTAAAGGTATAGATGAAAAACTTAAGCTTTTCGATAGGTATATTTTGGATTTATTTGACAAACATGCACCTGTCCGTACTGTGAGAGTTACAAGGAGAAAAGCTCCCTGGCTAACGGAACATCTCAAATTGATTTTCTCATTAAGAGATAAGGCTTTAGTTAAGTTTAAAAATAGAAAATGTAAAGAAAACTGGAAATCTTACAAAGATCTGAAAATTTTTGCTACCCGTGCTACTTGGAATGAGAAGAGGGCTTATCTTGGTACTGTTATGGGAAATTGTGATGCAAGAAAGAAATGGCGGGCTCTGAAATCGTTGGGCACGCTGAGGGACCACAGTTCAATTATACCTGAACATTTAAATAATGTTGAAAGACTTAGCGATTATTATTCATCTGAAATGACCTCAAGCTTAACCCCTGATTCTGAAACACTAAATAGATATTTAAATAGTAAAAAATATAACTTGAAGAGTAACTTCAATTTCACAATGACTTGTATAGATGAAGTTGCAGATACCTTAAAGTCAATCCAGTCAAAGGCCATTGGTGTTGATAATATTGGGATTGATATGTTATTATATTGTTGTCCCCGTATTTTACCCGTAATAACTCACCTAGTTAATACGTGTATTGAGTTTTCAGTGTTTCCTGATTCTTGGAAAATGTCTCATGTCACACCAATTCCAAAACATGACAGTCCCAATGAATTCAAGGATTTAAGACCAATAAGTATACGGCCCACTCTTTCTAAAGTTATTGAGAATATTCTTGAGCAGCAAATTCGTTATTACCTGAATACTAATAAAATACTTCCTGAACATCAGTCAGGATTTAGGCAAGGGTACAGCTGTGCTACTGCACTGCTAAAGATCACTGATGACATAATAGAAGCAACTGATAAAAATGAGTTAACTGCTTTGATATTATTAGATTACTCGAAAGCTTTTGATAAGCTGAACCGTCAGCTACTGCTTGCAGTATTGCATTTTATTGGTTTTTCTAGTAAATCTGTGAAATTGATTCAAAATTATTTATCTAACCGTAAACAAATTGTTAAAATCAACAAGATTTTTTCTGAACCTAAAACTCTCATCAGTGGTGTACCCCAAGGCTCTATTTTAGGGCCTCTCTTCTATATTATTTATACGTCACAGTTGCTCTTTACATGCATATGCCGATGACACGCAAATATATACGTCTTTTAAATCAGAGCAGATCGTGCTAGCAGCAGCCAAAATTAATTCTGACGTACTGTCTTTGAGCATAGCCTCTAAAAACCATTGCTTAGTCTTAAATCCGGATAAGTCAAAAGCTATCATTTTTTGTAGGAAAAAAGCACGGAATGATATTTCTAGTTCTATCAGATTAGAGTTGGATGGTAAGCTTATACCTTTAGAAGATAGTGTCAAAAATCTTGGCGTCCTAATTGATAATGATCTCCGTTTTCATGGCCACATCACAAATAAAATTAGGGCATCATTTCCTAAATTAAAACTAATTTATGCTCAAAGAAGGATATTGAGCCATAATTGGAAACGTACTCTGTGCGATTCTGTAGTCCTTTCTACGTTTAATCATTGTGACGTTGTTTATCATTCATGTATAACTAAAGCTGACAATGATCGAATTCAACTCATGCAAAATTCATGCACGCGTCTGATTTGTGGAACTCCTGGAGGAGAACACATCAGTCACAAAATTAAGGAGATAAATTGGATGAAAATGTTTCAGCGCCGAATACTTGTTTGATACTATATCATAAAGTGATGGTGAGTCAAGTACCACAGTATTTGTGTAGTAAAGTTCAATTAAGGGTTGAATCACATAAGGTCAATGTGAGAAGCAAGAATTTGATAAGTCCTCCATGTCACATCACTTCTCAGTATGAACAATCTTTTTCATACTGTATTTATAAGTTGTATAATCAGTTACCTTCGGACCTTAAGTCTATGACGCTGATATTTTTCAAAAAACACGCTAAGGCTTACGTTATGTCAAAATATTCTTTCTAATTTGATTAAGTTTTTTGATATTAGTTCAACTTGGTATTCTCAAATTGTTGCTAGTTTATATATGTATGTACGTATTTATGTATGCATTTGAAATGCATGACCATGCTTTTTTACGCTCAGATACTTGCATGTACTTTTTTTTGTACAAAACCTTGCTTTTCTTGTTCTTTCTATTTTTTCATTTTCTTTTTTTTTTTGTCAATTTTTCACTATTTTGTGAACTCCGCCTTTTGGATCATATGTCTATCTGTATAGCATGTTTCCAATAAAGTCGATTATTATTATTATTATTATTTCTGTTTGATTCGGCAGTTTCTCTCATCTTTCTCATTTTCTTCTGGAGTACCGTAGAATAATAACTTTGATGTCACCATAAACGCTGACTTTGGACGAAAATGAGGTAGTAGAGCAAGCAATAGAAAGTAGTCCTATTACATTTCGAGGTTTTTTCTGACGACGTTTGACGTTTATCAAATGAATGCATCTACTTTTGTGTTTTTAGTTTTTTCATTATGGTATCGTGGAATTGTTATTTTATGATTTTCTCTAGTGTCATGATTGTGTTTATCAAACTGTAGATCGTATTTATCTTTATTATATTTGATTCAAATCAACTTATGGTAAATGATTAAGGCATACAATGTCATCATACCCAATCTCCTAAAGATGCTCCTACATGGGTCGTCGTGTTTTTACAAATGACAAATGTTTTGGCGGTTCTCTTGTCGCTTTGCCTCCGTGGATGTACAACTTAAAGGTATAATGAAAAAATTAAATTTGACATGACTAGTGGACGACGGCGAGACTTCCGTATTGTCCTGTCACTTATTGACAGAGTCACCTGAGGAGCGAATTTTCAACGAAACGTTAAATAATACAGTTTGCCGAACAGTGCTGGAACGACACCCACTGTCTCTTAGTTATTCTACTTACTTGTTTTCAAGAATTGATTCTCCCAGATCGTGGAACCCTTATGGAACTCAACATATCCAACAATCTTAGTATGTTGGTGTTGAAAACTTGAGAGCAATCGTACTGAAGTTGCTGGAATAATAGCTGTGCCGATGACAGCACTCTGCATGCAGGAATTCAGGGTGACAAGCCGGTGGGCTGGAGAAAAGAAGACTAGCAGCGACTTCCTCTCTGTAGAGAGATCGAAGGTTATCACTGCTTAGGGACGGAATAGTCTTGTACAGTTTAATGCGTCCAAAACACAGTACTTACTGTACCTTGACGAACAAAAGGCGTCCTAGCGCTCATCCTGTTTCAATGGATGTCTGAGTTCTGTCAAAGAGCCGTTTATTTGGCTGGTCGGTGTCCAGATCATCAAGGACTTGATCAGGCACGAACTCATCTCGTCAATAGCGGCAGCTGCTGGGAAAAAGCTAGGTTATTTGTTCAGAGCTAAGAAATGCTTTTCTCCACAGGACCTCCTCAATCTGAACAAGGACCAGATAAGACCTAGCCTCAAGTTTTGCTCACACTACTATTCTCTAATGGATAATCTCGGAACCAGTGATGGGCGCTTTGTATACATCATTGTATACGCGTATACAGTGGTAAATATATGTCTCGATATTCACGTATACAATGTATACAATAGCAAATCATAGTTCAACTACTTGCATACAGTGCTGACTCCCTTTCCCTTTTAGATTTCCATGTGTACGAGGAAGCGAGAGAAGTGGAGAAGCGGGCACCACTTGTGTAGAAAGAGTGCACCACTCATATCGTTACCTGGCACAACAGTGATGAATGGTCACAGAACACGACTGTAACTTGCTGCAATGCCTTGTTTTCTACGCCCAAATACACATTTCTGTCGAATTCGTTTGGGATCAATTCCGGATCGATCCTAATGGTTCTCCGATTTTAGGTGGAACTAAAAGTTCAGGATCGCTACAGATTCTATTGCTTTGACTCTGAAAGCAGTTTATAAGTAATGAGAAAGGATATAAATATATAATATTTATTTTTATACGTATACAAAGATACAGTTTTAAATAAATTAGGGACATTTCTTGAGTAAAATAAAACAAAATACTTTCTGGAAACAAAATCATCTCTGAGTGAAGTCGGTCAAATTAACTCACTTGGGTGATTTCAATGGAGATATAGCAGAATTGGACAACTTTTTTTTGCAGACACTACACTCTACGGCAGTGGTTCCTAACCTTTTCAATGTCACTACCCCTGTGAACAAGTATGGGAATTGAGTTTACCCCTAGCCAATTTAAAATAATTAAAACCACACAAATTCGAACGAAAATATGTTTATTATCTAACTAAATTCTAAGAAATTGCACGTTTAGGTAACTAGTAAAGTAAAGTAATATGTAAATCTTGGAGTTAACTAGTGTGAAGGTTGAAATTGCTTTGCATTCGCAAGTTTGACAATATTAGGTTCGGTTTCACTCAACGCGCATCTCATGTCATGCTCAACATTCAGACGGTTTCTGGCTTTTGTTTTTAATGTAACAAGAGTTGAGAAACCAGTTTCACATCTGTAAGTTGTAGCAAATGGAATCAACATTTTTAAAGCTCTGTCAGCTATAATGGGATATTCTGCAGCTGCTTTTCGCCAAAATGTGCTTAGTTTATCATTTTGAAAATCAACTTTCAATGAGTTATTCTCACGCAGCCCGAGAAACTCTACTTTCGCTGACACATCTTCGTCCTTGAAAATATCGACGCAAGTAGAAAATGGTCTTAAAATCCAGGAGTAGGACTCACGACTGTCCATGTTCGGAAAATATTGCTGCAGTGAGTCTATCACGGCAGTTAAATGTTGAACCACGGAATTTTCAAACGAGATTTTCTCTTGTTTATTATTTACTAATTGCTCACTTAGTTGTGTAAACATTGACACATCACCAGCTTGAACTCTGCGTTGGTAAAGTTCCAATTTGCGCAAAAAACTTGCGATTTTATCCTGCAACGTCAAAATATTCGTTTCATTTCCTTGCAGTGAAATATTCAGACTATTAATTTCAGTGAAAAAATCAGCAAGGTACGCCATTTTTAGAATAAATGTTTGGTCTTTAATTTTTGCATAATATTCTTTTTCTTTTTGTGTTCTCTGATTTTCAAAAAACAATCCAATTTCTTCTCGTAATTCGTAAACCCTACTTAGAACTTTGCCTCTTGATAACCAACGTACCTCTGTATGGTACAAAAGAGCATTAAATGTAGCACCAACTTCATCGCACAAAACTTTGAATAATCTTGAGTTAGTAGCGCTGCCTCGAATATGATTAACAATTTTTAATATGTCACTCAACGTGTTTAGCAAATCTGATGGAAGCGTTTTCACAGCCAAAGCGTAACGGTGTATCAAGCAATGATAGCCGAAAACTTGAGGAGCAACTTGCTTCACGAGTGCCTGAAAACCAGAACGGATGCCCATCATGTACAAGTACCAATCAGCTTTAACCAGTCTAGGCCATTTTCCTCAATAAACTCTTTTAGCGTTTGAAATACGTCTTCGCCGCGAGTAGTAGTGGGCAAAGACTTGCAGAACAAATATTCCTCCTTTACATCATCATCTTTAATGTATCGTGTAAACACCAATAATTGTGAACACGAAGCAACATCTGTGGACTCGTCCAACTGCAGCGCAAACATATGACTTTCCTTTATTTCAGAAATAACGGTTGCTAGAATATCGGCACACATTTCATATATGCGACTTTGAATAGTAGTGTTTGAGAGTGAGATTTGTTTAATCTTAGCTACATGTTGCTCACCAATAACAAGTGCTACTGCATCTAACAAGCAAGGTTTGATGAGGTCCTCTCCTATAGTGTGTGGTTTTTTATTACGTGCGATGCGATAAGCAATTTTGTATGAAGCTTGAAGGCATGATTCATTTGCTTTCTGTATATTGCCTGTTGAATCCATGCGGGAAGACTTCAGAATCCTCTCCTTTTTCTTAAAAAAATCTATATTTTTATCTGCGAACTCCTTGTGAACTTTAGCAAAATGTTCTTTTAATTTGCTCGGTTTCATGCTTTCTGGATTAAGCACTTTATTACATAAAACACACTGAGGCTTTTCTATATTTTTGTCTACGATGCTTGTGAAACCCCATTGTAGAAATGCTTCTTTATAAGTGCGCTTTTTGCCAGATGAAGTAGAAGCCATGTCAAAAACACCTGTAGGTACCTAAAACAAAAATCAACTAATACATACCTACGTAAACAAATCACTCGTGACAATATTAACGTGACGATATTAACAAACACTGCTTACCTTTGAATTTAAACCGTTTAAAAATACGATTTCTGCAATGCGCGGCGGAACAAATAAAATGCGTGTTCTTCCTAAGCTTAGGTAAACAAAATGAACATCGCCGCCTGTCCGGCCCGCCGCTAGTCATGCTTCACCCCTCCCACACCGCAGCTCACCCGCCGCCGTCGCCGTCAGCCGCGCGCATGAGAGCGCCGTGCTACCGTTTACCGTACTATTATTTTGTTTATTGCTATTTTAATACTATTTCGTGCCATCCCGTGTTACCCCCTTAGAATCTCCGTTTTACCCCTGCGGGGGTAATTACCCCCAGGTTAGGAACCACTGCTCTACGGGATGTTTCCATTTTTAAACAAAATGAACCCTAGTTCATCGAACCTAACCTCACTTATGCTATTCTATACATTGTCTTCATCATTGTATACATTATATACATCGAGACGTAGACAATTAATGTATACGCGTAAACGCCCATCACTGCTCGGAACCCTTTCGCGCCAGTAGGCCGAGGGTTATCTAGCTCTCTTCTACCGCTGTGTTGACTAGCATTGCTCCTCAGAACTCTCGTCCACGATGTCGCCGCGTGATGAGCCTGTCAGACTGACCTGAATGATTTCTCCGGCCTCCCATCCTAACCGAACTTCGTACATTCATCACTGGCCGATACAACCGCTTCTTTGTCCCTAGGGTATCGAGATTGTGGAACAATCTACATGAGATTTTTTCCAGCTCTACTAACATTAGGCAGTTCAAAAATCGGATTAACAGAGTTTCTGTGCCGCGCCGCTCGATCGACAAGTGTCGGTTGCTATCAATGGGAATAAAGTAATGCAATCCCATCATTACTCCAAGAAGAAAAACTCACAAAAGTGCAAAATGCAAATTCTGTCCGAACAGTATTCATATCAAGCGCAACGTGCTCGGAATTTGAATAGGGAATATGCATGTTATTTTTTGTATTTTCTGTGGATTATTCACGTTAATATAATACCGAGCACACATATTCGCGCATTCGTGGACATGTACGTTTAATTAAATATTAAAAACTGCAATGCCAATGACGTTGATTGAAACGCCGCACTTTTGTCATTTGATTGCATATTTGGTTAATTTGCTGTCAGGATTCAAAAGGTCATATTTTAAATTCCCTAGGTTTAAAAAACCCTTGTGCGGAAATACGATACGCAAATCACGGGAAATAGTATTTTTTCATATTCCCCGAGATGCTTATAGAAAAGTGGCGTAAAATTATGAGAAAGGATAATGTATCTTCAAAAAGTTCAAACGGCTGTTAACCGATCAGTTGAAGGTTATTCCATTATCAGAGTTCCAGCACTGCTATGAGGAGTGGAAGAACCGTCTCCATCGTTGTATGTATTCAGAATTTCAGACGAGGTCATCAAATTGTAATTATATTTGAATAAAAAAAATTAAAAAAATCAGTATCATCACTTACTCCTGCACTGTACTTTGCAAGTCGATGTCTAATGTCGCTGTCTCCTGTCGCGGAGCGGAACCTCAAGAAAGGTGTCTGATGTATTTGGAAGAGTTCTGAAGTATAATTATCACAAGGAGATTTGAGACTTGCAGGCTGGCTGACGGTGCCCAAGTCATTTTATGGGTTGAAAAGTTTTGCGAATGAACTAATGCCTAGTTTATTATATTTTTCTCATTTATTTCCAGGCATGAACGTGAACCAGAGGGAACTGAGCCAACACATCGAATTCGAGCCTAACACGTACTATGCAGCGTTCAGTGCAGAATTGGAAGCAAGCGCGTACCCAATGTGGGCGCTCGTGTCACATTTGACAGACTCCAGTACCGCGGCTCTCACTAAACGGGTGTTGTCAGCCTGCTTAACCGAGATCAATAACTGGCTGGAGGCTATCAGCTGCACCACACCCACTGTGGTAAGTAGATTTGTACAGGGCGCCTAAAAAAAATTAATTTTTCGGCTCATGAGAATGGATTTAATCCCAGCTGGGGTAGGCGGACATCCAGTTGTCCTCAATATAAATGCTTTGATAAAATGTCAGAAAATTGTTGTACATGAGCTGCAAAAGATACTTGTATACAACTGAAAACGTATTTAGAGCAAGTTTTTCAATCGCAGGTTAACTTTCTGTTTAGTTAACTATAATCTGGAAGTTGTTGCCTGCAAATGCGTTTTTCATGTATTTTCACAGTTTCGGTTTACTTACGATAAGCGCATCGCATATTTATGACTTGTGTCATACCCTCATATCTTCAAACGTGTCACACAGGACACGTGTCCTTTTTTGAATGAAATTTTACGAGATAGTTGAAATTTGAATAAAACCTTCGTCACGCAAGGTAAGGTTTTTCAAACATTGCTCGTACAAATGTTTAGTAGTAGACTCTATAGACGGGATTATAGAAAGGATGGTAAAGAAGGTGGCCAATGCAATGTCTAATCGAAATTACATACAGGGTGTTCATTTCAAAACTTCCCACCACGGATTTATCGAAACCCGCTGATTAAAAGTAAAAACGTCGAGACACGTCAAAAGATTTGTCAAGGGGGACAACTTTTTAACGAAAAACTACTTCATCACCCCCTTTCAACCTAACTCAAGGTCATTCTCTTAAAAATCTTAAATGACAAGGAATGTCGAGTAATAGCTTGTTTGAAAGGTCTTTCAAAGCCCTTTATTTTGACGCTTGATTTTTAAAAAATCAGTTAATCCGTTTTCGAGTAAATGAGAAAAACATTTATTTTAATTTGTTCAGATAGAAAACAAAAACATACGAAAGTATCACTTTGTATTTCAATAAGTGTTCAAAATGTTGTCCGTTAAGGTTTGCCAAATCTACAATTCATTTATAATTTAAAACGAAACTACCAACATACACAGCAATTCGGAAGATTATACGTGGCAACAACCAAATAACAACCCGAATTTTTTCCGCAGTTTTTTCATCAACACAGATATCCTGGGCGAACTGTATTTATTGTTATACCTGTTTAGTTATTTGTTGCTAAGGGAGAGAATGAATTTAATTTGCTGTCAGTTACCTTTGTGAGAATCTTGGGATAGTGGAAATTAATTTATTGATTCAGATTTTACTTCCAAAACACTAGCCGTAGCCGAACGAGTGGAAATGATTCTAATTTATGGTGCCCAAAATCAATGTGCTCGGCAAACTGCCGTCACATTTAATGTCAGGCATCCGGAAAGATAACTTCGCATAGGTATGTTTTGGACCTTGTTACTAAATTTACTCAAACTGGATCTGTTGCAAATAAAAAAACGTGATCATCGGAGAGATTTGGATGAAGCTACTCAAGTTGAAGTTTTGAGACCACCATAAAATGATCCGACTAATAGTAAAAAAGTTATGGCCGAAAACACAGGCAAAATTCAGGTGATGGCTCTTGTTGCTAATGCGACGATAATTTACACAGCTTCTTGAAAATTTTCAAATCCGTAGGATTCATACTTCTAAATAACCACAACAAAATTGGAGTCGATTGGTCAAGTATTTTTTGAGATTTTATAATTGCTTATCCCAAAACACCTGTCTTCCGGCCATCACTACTAGTTTACTGAGCAATATACAGGGCATTTTATAGTGAAATATACGAGTTTACCCACCGACGTCGGTGAGTTTACCTTTCTACATGAATCGCAAACCATTCCGAAAGATAATTGTTATTTTTATGCGAAAAATGAAGGGGAAACAATTAGAAATTCTCAAAAACTACTTGACCAATCGACTTCAATTTTGTTGTCGTTATTTAGATGTATGAAGCCTACGAATTTGAAGAATTTCAAGTATCTGCGTGAAACTCTCGTCGCATTAGCAACAAGTGCGAAAACCTGCATCTTGCCTCTGTTTTACTACTAGTCGTTTTTTTACGTGTAGTCTCATTCTGTGGGTCTCATAAATAGCTAAAAATCTTATTTGAAGAGTTTTTTCGTTCCTGCCAACACCTTCGATTGTATCCCAAAAAACACGTTTTTTCATTCTTTGTTGTCGAATAAAAAGTTTTCCCACGAAAATTGGTGTACCCATTTCATGTGTCCATGATTTCAGAACCCCCTTGAACAACTTGCATCAATAAAACCAGACTTTATAATTTCGCAAACCAGGGATTCGTCTGATATGATTAGACTAAATGTTTACCCTTCAGTGTCTCTATTTCAAAATAACTTTTCTCTTTTTGTTACAGGAGGACAGCTATCAGGTGTCATTCCATCTACCTTTGCACCGATATCTAGCGGTTTTCCTTTGCCAAGCAGTCGCTAAACAAGGAATTTCTCTAAACGAGGTGCTGCCACCTGCCGAGTATTTTCTCAATCTACTCATGATGCACCCGCTGCTAGTACAGGTGAGTCCGATTTTGTGTAAACTCTTTTTTTTACAAATGGTAGTTCGGAAATTTTGTTTTTAAATAAAACCAATAGTATTGGAAAATAACATGCTTGTCTATATCGTCAGAATGTAGAAGCATGTGGATCAGCTGTTTTTACAGATAACCAGTTTTCGACTAAAATGTTCAATAACGTTTGGCACAATTGCCGGTCAGTTTCACCAATGATCTGAGAAATGTTTTCCGCGGATTGTTTGTGTAAACTTTATCCTTGAGGAACCCTCACAGAAAATAGCATGAACTCCCAAGCCAATTCCAATGCTTCGCTCGACGTATAACGCATGATTCTATTTTGATAAATCAACATGTTGTTAAGGTGCATATTATCCAATTGAAGTCATGAAAAGTCCATATTTATGGTAATCCTCGCCGTGAACATTTACCATTTCACAATCTTAATTTTCACGCAAAAACTTTCCTAATACGTTAGCAAGAATTTATTCGCAATTGTTGCTGCCTTTTGTTAGTTGCAGATGTTTCTTCATGTAGGGAAGAGTTTTACTTTTCCTACCCCTTTTTTAAATAAAATTCCTGACAGGCGCGGATCCAGGCGAATTTATTTCGACCACCAATTTTTAAAGTTCCAAATCTCTTAGATAAATCTGTAATAAATCTGGATGCCGTACTGGTATTTTCTTCTAAATCTAAACACTGGCAGCACTGCATCCGTCAAATTTGATTTAACTGTAAGCTCATAGATGATAGCGCAAGACTGGTTGCCTATGCGGTCTGCTTGATGTAGGAAAAACTTCGCGCGCGCAAACTTCTTGTGCATAATAGAGTTTAAAAGTTATCACGGACGCTACCGATAAGTAAAGGGCGTCGAGTCAAATTTGGAGTGCACGCTATTTATAGGATTTGCATAAAATTATAAGTAAGAAAAAAAAAACAAATATGACTGATAGTTGTTATGTTTGTCGTGATTAATATTTCATTGAATACAAACTTGGTGAACAACACTAAAATACGTTAACGAACGTGCATTACTACAGGTTATATACTGGGCACTATTTGCGAAAGTGTTATTCTCCGCATTTATCGCTATTTGCAAATTAATGACGGCAACTGAGAATAAACAAATTAGAAAGACCTGCACAAGTAACCGAAACAAGGTCATGGATAGTGCAAAAGGTTTTTTAATTTTTTTAAGCCAATGAAACAGCTAATTCAACTGTTTTAATATTCACGCGGATCTATGGTTTTTTGATAACGTAAAATCCATCTAAATTGTTCAGATAAAGTTCGAACTACAAATTTTGCTGGCAATAAGGATGTCACATATTAACAGGGGTTTACAATTATATACACAATAGTAGCTGATGCGCACTGTTACCTCTGTTTTTTTTACTATATGTCTATATAACCTGAATTAAGTAGAGACTGTGAGATCAAACATTCTTTATTCAATACAAAATATCAGAATTATTCTAATTTGAATCCGCGTCTTGCTTTTCGTTCAGCAAAAACTTCCATCACAGAATCCAAATTGAGTGTATTAGCTACTGATCGTTCGATACAGAGGATAGAGGAGGTGTTGAGTGTGTCTTCAGCCAAAGAAGCTCGACGGTATTATTTAATAATTTTCAAAGAGCTCATGACAAGTTCAGCACTAGCTGAACTCATAGGCAAAGTCAAAAACAATCTGAATAAACTGCAGCTCTCTGGAAAACTTGTCTATAAAATTTTTTGCAATCATGAAATAACCTAGCGGGCTGTCATTAGAAAAATTACGATTTTCTGAAAAATAAATGCTCTTAAAACTGGCTAATTCATATTTTAGATCTGTAGTGAAAAATTACGAACACATTTCCATCAAATGTGACGCTGGTTTCTAATTCGTTTTCTTTTAGATTGACTAATTTATCTAGCATCAAAGAACCAAACACTTCACGAAATCCTTCAGCACGTTCTTGCAATTCGTTACTCATTGATCCAAAACTTCATACTAATTTATTCGATGTTTTTCGTGTGTTTCCAGTGGCGAGTCAGCAGCTTTTTCGTCGATCATTTTTTTGATTTCCCTCTCTCTGACAATGGGAACCCCCACCCCCTCCACCCCCCCGACACAAATCCTGGGTCCGCCGTAAATTGCTGAATTGGGATAGCCTAGCGATTTTTTATAAAAAGCTAATACCCTCACCTATCGTCACGGGAAGTTGAAATGACGAAATAAGTTACTGCGATCTTTATTGATTATAAGGAATTATAAAAAAATTAAAACTATCTATTGCAAATGAATACTACAATTCCACACTATGTATATCAGTTATTTTTTCAGTTCGTTTATGCCTCGGCATTCAGTTGACAAGTACATATTCGTTCACATTAATATCTTTTCTTTGAGGTGCTTCGGGTATTTCCAAATTGAAATGATTCGCATAGTTGTAGGTGGTGATTTTGGGCGCTACAAAGCCTCCGTATCCCTTTCTTCCCTTATAGAAGACGCCCGCACCCGTCAGGGGAACGGCAGGGACGTTGAAAACAGGCTGGATGTCAAAATAAGGGATGGTAGTTTGACCTGCATCTTTCGCCAAATCGGTGCGGTCGAAATCAATGTAACGTTGAGGATCAAAGTTGGGGTTTGATGGCGAGTCTGAGAGTGTAGGGATGTCGGGTTGGTCAAAGACAATCCGCTCTCTGAAAAAAAAATCGTGTTGGCTTCCACTTCAAAATTTAGGAGCAAAAGTGATATAGTCCAATATAGTAGTAAAATCGGATGCAAATTCGACAGGTTACACATGCAACATTGGTTTTTTGTTCCATAATTTTAGATATAGCCTTTTTTTACTAGAATCATGGAAATTGTTGCATGTATAGTACTGTCAATAACAATGAAGTATAGTGGTGCATCGTAAGACATAAAAATATCAAAACTTCGGAACCCAACTGCACTAACTGGATTTTCGTGAAACCATTGTAATTAAAAAAGTTCATTTAACAAAATTGGACGTTGTTCATAAATGCAATTTTTAACAATTAATAAAAAAATGAGGAAAACGGGGTGATTCTAAAAGCAGTGGTAATACCTATTTCTAGTACAAAAAAATAAAAGCTCATATAAACGTGTGCCAAAATTCCCCCTTACCAACAGCATGTTGAATATATAATTTGAAAATCGGAAAAATGTTTCGTATAATATCTTCGAGTTGTATTAATATATTGAAGTAAAAATTTGTACAAAATTTGTAGAACATGGCCATACAAAAATTGTGAAATTTTGACCACTGCAGCAGAAATTGAATATTATTTTCTACGCCACTGACTTTTTTGAAACATCTATTGCTTTTTTGAATAAGGTACTCAATCTTGCATGAGTCACCTCTATTCAGAATATTTTGTCGGACTACCCCTTTTGGTGAAAAATTGATTTGAGTGTTCAAGGTAAGATCCGTTTAAAAGTCCTCTGATTGAAACTAAAATTAGAGAAGTTTAATACTGAAAACTATCTTACACCTCATTCAGATGTCCAAAGCTATAGGTACTACCTGGCGAATTTGCGTCTTTGAACATACAGGGTGTTTTCAAAGCTGAGTCATTTATTTTAACAGCTTGTAAGACTCACCGAAAGAAGTTGATATACAAAAAATCAGCTAAATAAAAGTTGCGTAATAAAAGATATATTAAAAGATTAAAAATTGAAAAAAACAAGAATGTTATTACACAGATTTTTTTATATTCTCGACCACTGCCGTCGTTTTTTTTTTGTTTACTACTCTTATCGTTTATCTAAATTTGGCAAAATTTTTGTCTTATTGTATGATTTTCAGTACGAGTCTTTGGTTCGATCAGTTGTATCAGTCTTTTAATAGTGCGTATATTTTCATTTGTCTGATTATTTTGTGCAAAAAATACCCATGCTTACGAAAACAATGAACTAGTGGACATAATACTAACATACGGAGAGTGCAAAATGCAGCCGCAGCATGCAGTTTGTATGCGGAAAGGTTCCTTTTAAGGAATCATCCGGCCCCACGAATGTTTGTAAATTTATTTATTAGACTTTGTGACACAGGCTATTTAAAAGAACAACGATGAGGTCACGCTGGAAGACCTGCTCGACCTGAAATGTTACAAATTGAGGAAGACATTTTAGAAATGATCGAAGACGATCCAGCAATGAGTGCTAGATCCATAGCAGCTCAAGTTGAAGTTTCTCATAGTAAAGCATAGAATACGATAAGAACGGTATTATCCTTTTAGAACAGTTAGGGAGAAATGGAGATTTTACGAAATTAATTTTGTGTGCAAATGAGGCCACATTTACACGAAATGGAGTGCACAATTTCCACAACAATCATGTTTGGGCAGTAGAAAATCCGCATGTTGAAAAAGAACTCATTTTTAACTCAGATTTTCATTAAATGTTTGGGCTGGCGTGGTAGATGGCATGCTTATTGGGCCCTACTTTTTCCAACTCGACTGACTGTTGAAATTTATTTAGATTTTCTTCGATACTGTCTGCCACAATTATTAGAAGCTATATAATGTGAGACATGATATGGCTCCACCGCATTTTAGACGAGAAGTTCATATAAAAAAATAAGTTCAAATAATGAGTTTCCGAATAGATCGATAGGGCGAAATGGAACCCATTTCTTGGCCTGCTCGCTCCCCGGATTCAACGCCTTGCGATTTTTTCTGTGGGGCTATTTGAAAGAGTTGGTATATCATGACGGAGCAGTAAATACTCTGGAAGAACTTAACAGTGCACTGAAAATGCTTGTGGACATCAAGATTTTATTTTCGAATCTGGTAAAGTATCGTGGGTTCGCCGAGTAGGAATTTTTGTAAAAACGGTGTCCATTTAACTTGATAATGATTTTTTTCAAATAATTTTCAGTAATGTAAACTAACTCTATTATTATGCAACTTTTAGGTGGGTGATTTTTGGTATATCAACTTCTTTTGAGCTGTTGAAATAAATGACTCAACTTTGAAACTACCCTGTATGATAGCATTTTCGTCGTACATGGCTCTAATAAGGTATACTATAAACTAAACAACAGGGATATCAGACAAATATTTCGTAAATCGTTGTAAAGTTTTTCGATTGCACAAAAATGCACCTGGAGCAATTTCTCGCTTCAACAGTTGAGATAAGAACGTGACCTTTTTTAATTTTTCTATCACGCTACCGTCAATTTTAAGTAATGAATCACCAGGCTAGAACTATTTTACCTGTATCCAGATCCATAGACATAGTATGATCCTTCTTGTGAAACCTTGCCAGTTAAGAAATCGAATGGCCTCACTTCGATCTGGAATCGTAACATGTCTGCCATATATTCAAATCTAACACCTAAAAAAATAAAACAAAATATGATTACAACATAACCCATTGCATACAGTAGTGTACGAGAGAGAAGAGTGGAATGCGTATGTTACGGGTTGCTAGGCAACGTGGTGCTTCTTTCATTTTCTAACATGCGTATTGCGTGCTTCTCTCTTGACTTTGAAGTTGAGTCATTAATTTTCAGATAATGATTGTAGAAGGAAGATAAATCAAAATATGTGTGTAAAAATAAAAAAAAAATATGTTACCTTGTTTTATAAAGTATCCTCCCGACAAGTATTTCAGTGCGGACCTGTATTTAATCGTGCGGTCTTGGAGCACCGGCATGCCCTCCCCTGTGAGGTCTTAAGTCACCTGATTCACGAGCCCTTTGTACTACATTAACAAAGGCACAAGGGGTTGGTTGCACTCGATTGGGAAACCGATCCGCATAAATCCGTGATGCCGCGGCAGCATTTTGTAAAGACTCCCCCCCCGTAAATAAGAATCATGTCCACAAGTTCAGCATTTTCGTAAACATGTGCCATTTTTTATTTCGTTTGAGCCACGCAACAAACACTACTATTCACTCACGCGTTACCGACTGACACATTGACTGAATACAACTGAATAAAATTGTAGTAAAACCATCGTGATAAGCGTTTCAAATTCTTTCGCTTTTTTGTTTCCGATGCGATGAACCGATAAGGCGGATTATATCCGTTGTTGCCAAACACGAGCACATAATCTTATTATTGAGGCAGGGCGGTACTCAAACTTTAATTTTACCACAAAAATGTTAAAGGAAAAAACATTTCTTTTGATCAGATCTACTCACTGTTAAAATAAAAGACTCAACTTCGAAGTCACCCTGTATATTACGAGGTCAGTGATATATGGGGATGACTTTGTCAAAGTAATCTTCTCATTTAGTTAGAAAGTTTTATATCGCTTACCTGTGATTACCGTATTCGACTCGGTAGGTGACAGATCATCTAGAGACATCGACCTGGTATCATATGTCATTGTGTGATAGTCTTCACCGCTTTTGACGTCTGAGTCGGTAATTTTGAAATCGCCGACTGGTACCCAGTGAACGGTAGAGTTGTCGATGTAACCGTAAGGAAGTAGTTTGCCTTCTTGAATTTGCAGATGGATGATACGATTATGTTTCACGAACCTGATCCCGGTTACTACCCTGAAATTAAAGAAAAGTGTGAATACATTTTTTGCATTTTTACATAGTATTCTAAGAATCTTGGGGAGAGATTCCGTATTTTTTTAGAAGGACATTTCTTCTTAGTTAAAGCTCTCTAGATTCTTACATATGTCAGATCTGGTTGCTCAGTCAACAAACTAAAACATATAGAAGGAAGGTAAGAAGAACAAAAGAGAAAGGATGATCGAGAGATGCTATTTTCATATCAAGGTTTTAAGAGTATGGAATCATGTTTAAAAAAGTGGAGCGGATTTCCATATGATCTTCAAGTCATGGTGAAGGTCATATACCAATCATCAGATGACAATATTTGGAACCGACTAAGATTTAGCTCACCTGTTATTTTCAGTGTCTGCAATTACGGGTCTTAGACTGAAATATCTGTCGGAATAGGGCCCTTGTTCATCACAAGTACAAAGGCAGTACGCACATCTTACAAACCATCTTATCCAACTCCTGGCATCTTTCTTTTGGCACCATGTTTTCTTTCCCAAGACTGTATCGTCGTATTCTATGTAGTGGTACCTTCTATGACCTGGTTCTTTCTGCAACATGCATAATCACTCCTGATTTTAATTATACGATAATGATATTTCTCGTATTTTGATCAAGTGGCTTGTGTTGAAGAGGGGGGTAGGAGAAGGGGCGCTATGTGAATCTGGATAACCCTTTAAAGTACCAGATACAAAACATATGCACCCTGATCAATATGTCAGTTTTTCGTTGAGATCGACCAGACATCTCGAAAGGCAGATTTTTTTACTCCAAGTAGGACGTTTCAAGCTTCAGGATTGATGTCCATATTCAAAAATAGCGTTCCAAATAACCTCAGTGCATGAAGTCTCATTCACTTGAAGTAACATGGGAGTATGGGACGAAAATGCAAATTTTGTTGATACTCGAAGTTGAAAGCCTTAATAAGATATTTTCAAAAACTTTTCTACAATCTCGACCTAAACTCATTGTTCCTGGGTTAAATCGGGTGCGTGGATCACGAATTAGATATCGGTTGTTTGAAGGAGAGGACGTCTCGAAAAGCCTGTTTTTTACCCAAATAGGGCTGCGTGAAACATTAGATTTCCTTCGATCTGTCTGTCTGAGAAATACGGCTCGGATTTATTTATTTATTTATCAACGAGCGACTGTCCAATTAAAGTACAGCATAGAAAATCTAAAGTAAACCTAACCCTACTTTGACTTTGATATTTAACACTTAGAACAATCACAAACACTTTACAGTCCTGATCATTTCTAAATTCAAACGAATTTAATTAAAATTTAAATACAGTCCGCAAAGTTGGGGTTTTCCTATACACGACGTGTAGATCTTGAAAACATAAGCAATTTTTCTTAGTACCATATACACCAATGTCTTAAGGGAACCGAGATAAAGGGCTCTGCAACATCAAAAATATCTGAATACCGTCCTGTAGCCGCGACTCGCGACATCCCCGAGTGGTACTAGGACACTAGCTCAACCCGAAGACAGAACTGGGTCGGGGTCAGTGTGTCAGGTCAGTATGCAACCTTCAACCGACGGTTACGGTCACGCGTGTAGAGGTAAACGAACACGTATAATCGATTGCGTTTCAAAAAACAACAAGCACTAGAGACGTGGCTAGAGAAGTGCAAGTATCAAAAGCTAAAGTGTGGCAAACGCTGCGTGAAGAGGGGCTGTATCCGTTTCACGCCCAACGACGATTTTCCAGCAAGTTGTTTCTGAAAAGGAAAACCCCAACTTTGCGGACACCCTGTATATGGGGAAATCTGATATTAAATATTACAGACAGGAATCTAATTGAATTTTGAATGTTTTCTGACTTCTGAAGAAATCCAACTTATTAGAATACTGATTTGCTAACCTTGAAGATCTAGACAGGAAGAATTACTAGCATAATTAGTACGAAATGATCTAACATGGAATGGTTGATTCAGTCTTGTTTGACGAGAAGGCACATGTAGATTAATATTTTTCAAAAGTTCTGGAGCAAAACTAAGAGAGGGCAAAATATTATAAAATAGTAATAGGTCCCACTGATTCCGTCTTACCTGAAGGGTTGATATATTGAGAGAGCTTTCAATGACGGAATAGATAATATCTTCAACCATAATGTTTTGTTTGAGTGAAATGAATCTTAAGAATTTATGTTGCACTCTCTCAATTGCCTGAATATGAACATTATAGTTGGGTGACCAAACACAAGAACAATACTCCAAATGGGGCGTTACCAAAGAACAAAATAACGTTTTAAATGACTGAATATTATGAAAATCCTTAGCATATCGTTCTATAAATCCCAACAGTTGAAGAGATTTAGAAACAATCATATTTATATGGGTAATAAAGGATAATTTTGGGTCCAGAATTACCCCTAAATCCCTAACTTGGGATACACTCTTTAGATAACAACCTTCCATGGTATAAGTATTATCAGTGGGGTACCTGTTACGGCTGAAAACATTTTTCCACATTAAGTTCCATTCTATTCATTTGACAGCAGAGACTGAATGAATTCAAATAATTTTGGATATTTAAACAATCATTATTATATTTGATTTTTAAGAATAGTTTCAAATCATCTGCAAACATTAGAAAACTAACAGACTTAAAACAGTATATAATATCATTCACGTATATATTGAACCTTGAGGTACTCCAGATGGCACATTAATCTCATTTGATTGAAAGCTTTGATATGCACTGTTTGTTTTCGTTCAGTGAGGTAAGACTTCAGCCATGATAAAAGATCCCCGCAAATTCCTAGACAATGTAACTTATTGATCAAGATCTCATGGTTGACCTTATCGAATGCTTTCGAAAAATCTGTATAAACTACATGAACAGAATAACCTTCCTCCAATGATTCCAAAACATAGTTTGTGAATGTTAAAAGATTTAACTCTGTGGAGCGTTTTGAAAGAAATCCAAATTGTTGGCTTATAAAACTACTTTGCAAATTTGCGGATAAAAATTCACACAATAGGCTGTCAAATACCATTCCAGTGCAACTCGGTTTACTGATAGATCGATAATTTTTGACTTGTGAAGGATCTCCAGATTTCAGTATTGGAGTAATCAAGCTTGTTTTCCAACATTCCGGAAAAGTTCCACTTTTCAACGAAAGATTAAAAATATAAAAGAGATCTAGAAATCAGAAAGCTACAATGTTTAATCAACAACAACAGTTTGGACAGATTGCGATGAAATTTTTACACAATGTTACACCAAGGACACAAAGGCTTTTTAGTTTTTGAGAATTGGTCCAGTGTTGAGGAAAGCCAAAAACGAAAAAAAAATCGCTTAAACTTCGTTTTTTGACGTTTCAGACGATCCTGGCCATTTTCGCAAAAATGTTTGTAGGTGTCAAAAATTGGGGTTAGGGATTTCGGGAGTGGGGGAGGGTATATCTCATTTGTTTACGTTGGTATATTTATACCCCTCCAAACCCAGTGATTCTACGCAGATATTAGACATATTTCACTTAACGTAGATGTCGCCGTATATTTACCAAAACTTAGAAATATCTCCTACAATCAGGGGTAGATACGTGCGACGTGGTCCCCCGATGGACAAGCGTCGATCGGTAGTCTTACGTCACAGTCGGCAATCACTAACGTATATCACTGTGCATCGCAACGATGTGCGCCTGCAGCAATTCCTCTCAGGGGGAAGCGAAAGGTTCTTTAATTTTTCGTTATGCATATTTGCATTTTTTCTCAGAAGGGCTAACTTGTGCCAAACATAATCCTTTACGAACTGATGACAGCGTAGCGTGGAAAGTTCAGAGTCAACTTACTTGACGCGATTTTTCTGGCATATTCGAAATGAACCGCTCAAGTTACCCTAGTGCGCCGAGTTTTGATGACTTGTATGTACGGGAGACGACAATGGAAATTTTCTAATTTGAAACGCTAAAATCTAAATACCTGTTTGGCTGGTAGATATTTGTCATTCTCGATACGCTCGAAATAATAAAATGGTTTTATCGCCCAATTTCAACATAGATTTGGTAGATTCATAACTTACATCTATGCAAGCCTTCATGCCCTTAGATACCATCCTGCAATCTCTTAGGCGCCCCTTACAGGGCTCCGCTTTCTGGCAGTACTCGCTTTTAGAATCGTAGCAACCGAAGCTGGTTGTATCGGAGTAGTCTTCGCAGGTGTTGACGCAGCTGCGTCTTTTATTCAAATCGGCTTCGTTCTGGATGTGAGCTTGCAGCAGCCGAGTTAATCTGTCGTAGGTTACTCCTAGAAAGCAACTGAATTAGCTCATCGAAAAAATATTATAGTTGTCTTTTTGCCTTATACGCCAACGGTCTGTCTGTCTCTCTGCCAATTATGTTTTGTATATCTTGTATACTGATCCGTTTAATGTTTTTGTTACACATTTTCGTAGCGTAATTTTTTCTCGCCGAACATAATGATATTTTTGCATGGGAAGTGCAGACTCAACCTACCTGACGCCATTTTTATACAAGGTTTGTCGCAAAGTAAACAGGACTTTTGAAAGAGATCCGATATAAGTAGCGCCATCTGTTAGCGGAGACTAGCCTTGGATATTACATCTTTTATTGAAGCCCTGTCAAATCGACAGTACCTTTTTAGCATCGGTCGAAAAATGAGCATCCAACAAAGAGTCAATATTAAATTCTGTAAAACATTTACCGAAACGCATCAGATGTTGATGGAAGTGTATGGTGATGATGGTTTATCTCGTAGCCAAGTTCATGAGTGGTTTACACGGTTCAAAGAGGGTCGTGAGTCGCGGGAAGGCGACGAACATGTTGGCCAGCCAAAATTTGTGGTTACGCCAGAAACCGTCGAAAAACTACGTGAATTTTTCAAAAATGATTCAAAATCTTCATTGAAATACATAGAAATAGATTTAAATATCTGTAAAGATTCAGTTCATCGCACTTTGACCAAGAATTTGAGCATCAGAAAGGTGTGTGTTCCGCACAAGCTCACGGATGACCAAAAATTGCTTCGAATTCTGAATTTTGAAGGACTTCCCGATAAAATAGCTAAAATCATCATTCGAAAATCTTTTGGTCCGTGCAAATCGCTGTATTAATTTTGAAGGAGACTAATTTGAATAAAATAAATTCGATTTTCCGAAGCAAAAAAAGTTTGTTGATTTTTTTGTCGTATTTACTTTGCGACAGAGCTTGTATGTCCAAAAGATTTGCGAAGCGCTATCGGGCCAGAAACCTAGTTAAATAATGTACCAAAAGAATCACTCAGAATTTTCATGGCTTTCCTCTAATTTTTCATATCAGCTACTGCAACTTTGCATAGAAGAGGAATATGTAAACATATAAGTATACCTAATTCATGCTTTTTTGGGTCGCACCTCCATATTTTCCTATGGGATATTGCCATGGCTCCTGACATGAATGTGTACGTAGTATTGAACATCTCCCTGAATTTTTTTGTAGCCAGCAGTCCCGCACTTGTGTGATTGTCTGAAAGTTGAAATGTGTATAGTTTCTTGGTGATTTTTTTTAGTCAACCATGATATTTGCCTTCATACGGTTAGAACGAGAAGACTCATTGCCAGTACGATAAATCCGATTTGTACCGTAGCGGATGACAGCACTTTCCGCTCAAGATGTTAGGGTGGCGAAGTGGCATTTAAACCATATATTTTCATAAATGTCACCTGTTCAACATTGCTATTTCCTACTTTTTGTTGATCTGTATGAATTTAAGTGATTACTAGCATATTCTAATCAATCCCGTATAGTTTACCAACTGGTACAATATAAAGTATTCATTTAGATAAACAATGGTAATGATATTACCTTTTTCCTGCAAGCGTTGTGCCAAATAAGCAAATTGTAGCAGCATATTTCCTTTCAACTGAATCAGCGCCATTTTGTTATAAAAATTGTAAAATACTTGTTGCGGCGACTGGTGGTGGCTTTTGCACATGAAATCATGGGTAATTGTCATCTGAAAAAAATATAAGTTCGGTGTTTTTGTCGATGACTAAAATGAAGTAGAATCATCTTTCTTTCACTGACAAACGCAAGTGATTCTATAAGGCGTGGACCCCATTCTGTGTTATGCATCGTTGTACGTACCTCCAAGATTTCCCCCAACATGCTAGAACTGCCATACAATTGATCGAAGGCAGATTGAATAGTTCTGTTGATGTTATTCTTTTCGTCGTACAAAATGTGATGGATCATGTTGTTGACGCTGATTTGCCTCCTTTCATCTTGGTAGTATTTTCTAGATGGTAACAGGTACTGTTCCTGGTATCTCCTGAATTTTTCGTATGCATCGTGGATAACTCGGACATCAGAGAAAAATTCGACGAAAGGGTCCGTTTTTTTTGGTACTTGCAGCCCGTATAAGATTTCTTGTGGCATCTGGAACAAAATTGACAAAGACGAGAGTTATTTCATAATGATGATGCATATTTACAATTTGTTTTAACGCCTTGTATTTTGTGAAATTTTATTTTTCCAATTCGAAAATCGGCTCAAAACCGATCAAATTTCAAGAAAACCTACCAAGTTGTTTTGCTTTCGTCCTAAAAATGGCAATTATTATTGCAATTTTTGAAATCTACCAAGGAATTTCGTCCGTCTTTAACCCCCTAAAAGTGGCCTACTTGTCATTTTTGAATTTGAACAAGAAACGGGTTACAAAACGATGAACCTGCGCGAACACCTACTAAGAATTTTTTGTGCATTTGAGCCATTGCATTTTTTGAAATCCTAATTTTTGAGCTCAAAAACATTTAACTATAGAGAACCTACTAAGGATCTTTTCGTTGGTTGGCGCTCAAACGCCCTGAAAATGACCATACTTGCATTATTTGAAATACTAATGCTAACTTTATAGAGAACCTATTACGGGATTTTTCATTCATTACCTCTTCTTGCATTTTTTGCAATACCCGTACTGATTTTATAACTCGAAAATGGGCTCTAATGCAATCATCATACCTTTCCTTTTCCGGAGCACAAAGTTAATATTTAGTGATTGTCATCTTACCTGCTGCAACTTTTTGTCAAATTCATGGAACTGTCTAACGATATTAGACGCCGAATCAATCTCGTTCATCCCATGTTTGTTGAGCACAGTGTCCCACAATTCATCTTCCAATTTCAAAAATTCCAATGTGAGTTCGTCGATCAGAAGCGGATGCGCGGAGGCATGTTCACAGGTGGTAAGGGTGCCATCCGAGATCAAAAAACACACGACAGCCAGCAACGAGCATTTTCTCGACATTTTGACTCCCCTGTCGATCGCACATTCACTGATTGGAAGCCAGCAGTTGTCGTGAACTATGAGCTCGCGTCTGCAAATGTTGTGATTTCCCCTATCTTGTTATTATCACGGACAGTGGCGTGCTGGCTGGTAGGATGTTAAAACATAGATTTGAGGATAAAAAAATTGGCGTTTAGTAGATTGAATGTATTTCTGAGTTCTCTGTCAGATCACAGAATTTGCAGGCGGATACCTCAAAATTTAGGACAAAATTTCGTCTCCCGTTATTACGCCAGTCTTTGTCGGATTTACGTATACGCAGCAGTTTTTTAAAATATTATCATAAGATTTCATTAGGCAACATTTTTTCGTAGTAATCCTAAAATTATTCCTGCCTTTATTATAAGTGGATGAGATTTATTATACTTAGGTAACCTGGGGTGCTGAGTTCGAATATCACCCTCAAAAAATCGTGAAGTATCCTTCTCACAACCTCTTTAATCTGTAAAAGGTCCAGATAAGACCTAGTCTTGAATACTGCTCACATGTTTGGTGTGCTGCCGCCCCGACTACATTGTCTATACCCGATGCTGATTAGAAGAGGGCCGTCCAACTGATCGCCGACACTTCCCTAACGGACAGTCCCGGGTCCGTTTCGCACCGTCGACGACGAACGATCTAGCTCTCTTCTATCGCGTCAACGTGCTTTGCTCCTCAGAGCTCAGCTCCATGATACCGTCGCACTTTGAGCTTGGCGCAGGCTTTTGTCTACCATCCCAACTCTGTCGAAGTGTGTACATCGGGAACTAGCCGGTACGACCGCTCCCTAGATACTCAAGAGTCTGCAATAATCTGTCTCAGGTTTTTCGACTTGTGCTACCCAAGGCTTTGTTTCCCTGGTATTTAGGTTGCTGCCTACGCGGTTGCTTCAGTATCAGGGAAGCCCGAACTTGAAGTAGATAATGGGACGTTTGGGACCTCCTGTAGCTGTTTTCTTGAATTTTCATATACAGGATATCGACCCCATATTTAATGTGTGCGATCGAGGTAGAGAGAGAAACACGCATGTTACAGAGAGCTGAGGCGTTTACAGATTCGTTGTCTTTGGTGTCCAGCAAAAGGAGGGTTATTATTTCGTGGGCTACATGCCAAACTGCTTGATGGATTGTTACAAATGAGGGGTCCTTGGTCAGTGTGACTGACGCTGGGTATGCTAAAATTTTATAAAATCAAAATGGTAGATCTTCATCGAAAATTATAAGCTACAGCTTAAACTACCTGATGGATTTTGACACATGGTAGCGCGGTTGACTTTATGCCACAATTTTGTAAAATCAAAATGGCAGATTTTATACTTGAAATTTCCATTTTACCGGCTACAGCCCCAAACGCTTTGGACATTTGAGGTGTCCTTAGAATCGTATTGATAGCAGAATTAAAAACTTATTTTTTCAGTTACTGCAATCGGGCTTTCTGTATTTTTCAGAAATATTTTCATACATATTAAATAATAATAATAATATTTATTCACTCAATGTACAAAGATAACAAACAATGTGAGTAAATAAATATAAAATCAAAACAGGCCCAATAGAACGCATCGCCTGTACATGGACCAATAATTTAAGTTGAAACTGTAGAATGCAAATGACAAAAAAGGACAAAAATTAGCTACAGTAGATTATGTATTTAGTTGATGTTCGTATTTATGAGTTTATGAATTTCAGTCCTAGATATAGAATGTAGCCACTTTTTTAAATTTCTTTTGAAACAATTTCCGAAACGTAAATCTTTTAAGTCTTTAGGTATAATTTCATAAAATTTAGGCGCTAAATAGAGATATGATCGCTGCATTATAGATTTATGCGCTTAAGGAACTACTGTGCCACGAATTTTGTACCTGGTATAATGATTATGTTTAATTTTTTGGTCGGTGTTTACAAATTTATGGTAGTGAGTGATACTGTGTAAGAAATAAAGCTGTCTTATATCATACATTCGAACATCTGCGTATAATTTTTCAGTGGGATAAAGTTTCGGTTTTTTAAATATCATTTTTAGAATACTTTTTTGAAAAACATCTAAATTATAGATATGTGAGGAACATGCAGCTCCCCATGCTAATATACCATATGTGAGATGAGGCTCAATCAGTGCATGGTATAATGTTCGAAGATATTTTTCTGTCAATATATTCCCAAGGTATTTAATTTTGTAGGATACAAATCTAACTTTAAAATATAATTGACATGGATGTCCCATCGTAAGTGAGGATCCAAGACCACTCCAAGGTATTTTATGTTGGGCACTCTAATAATTTGCATTTTTTGATCATTAATATTGAAGGAGAAATTTGTCTAATTTGGCAGATGTCTAGCATAAGATCCAAATGGTAAAAAATGTGTTTTAGAGTAGTTAATGCTTAATTTTCTACTGTTAAACCACCGAATAATTTTGATAAAATCATTTTCAATTACATTTTTCAGATCAGACCAGGCAGTGCCTTCATATAATATTGCAGTATCATCTGCAAAACTAGTTATTTTGCCAACACAATTAATTTGGAAAATATCATTTAAATATATATTGAATAACAGCGGACCTAAGACAGTTCCTTGTGGGACACCACACTTAATATACATTTCTTTACTAAATGATCCTGATATCTGCACAGATTGTGGGCGATTTGACAAATAACTTTCGATCAGTGAGTACGCGTTTCCTCTGAAACCAATTCTCTCCAATGCTTCTAATAATAATTTGTGATTAACTGTGTCGGAAGCTTTCTTTAAATCAACAAAAATGCAGATTGAAGGGATTCTGTTATCAATATAATACGGCACCTCATTGATTCCCTGCCGATCCTGTACATGAGGATGTTCCAAAGACCCATCCTGTATATCTTCCGGTTACTGCCAAAACCAGAGTTACATTTTTATGCTTCTGAAATATGAGGATTTTAAACTTTGTTGTTAGATTAAAAATTAAACAAAGAAATTAAATACTTTTTTATTCACAAATTAAATTGTAAGAGAAATATGAACGAAAGAGTACAACAATAATCATAACATTGGGAAAACTAACTACCTATTAACAAAAAACACGTTTTTTAATCTTGTCTTTTTTTATGTATAGATTTGTATACCTTAGCTATTTGACTCCTATACCGGTTCTTTGGGATTAGAATCCTCTGCTGCTGGTCCTGGAATAAGATCCTTTGTTTCTTTTAAGGTCGGAAGCTATTTGTAATACTAATGATATCCCTCAAGGATAAAATTACTTTCACAAAGTTTAAATCTTAATTTCTCTTTATTGATAATGGTCTAATTTTTCTGAATGCATCTTTTATTTTAATTTGGTTTGGCTGTATGGGTCGTCCTTTACCCAAAACATTTATTTCCATAGATTTTACGCCAATAAGCTTTTTCGCCTAGGTATTCTTCAATTTATCTTTCATTAGAATTTTTTGGATCCAAACGTTCTGGCCATGCTGAAAATTGTCAACCAGTCCTGGATTGTGTAAACAAGAACGAAAATCTGCACCTTTTCATTTGCACTGTGCATACTCTCGACTTCCATATAGCTGTGCCCTGTTTCTAAAAACTTTTGCACTATTACTCGAATATTTGGATTAATTTGGATCATGTAAAGCAGAAGAGCACTAATATTTTGATTGCGATTTTGACCGTTACACGTGTCCGTAAACAACGATAGTTCGGTGACATCAGAAGATAGCTGATTTATGTAATTGCATTTTTATTCCATTTAGCTTTCACACGTACCAAAATGCTGAGTTGGGCGGGGCCACGGACTGAAACAAAACTGCTAAAATGAGATAAGTGCCTTATGATTTATTTTCGTTGTTAGAAAACTAGCAAAGTCGTACGATAATTTGAATGTTGTTAATCGCAAGTGCAAGTGTTGCATTTAACGTGTTTGTGGCACACGCGTTCAACTCTCTGTCTCATAATATGAAGATATCTGGTTTTGTCAAAACCCAGGTTATACCCTTTTATACAGAGAAATGTACTTAACCCAAAAATGTACTTATCTTGCTTTGGCAGTAACCCGACGATATTTCTGTTTGCAATCGCGGGGTTGAACGTACACCAATGGCTTTGAAAAAAGTATTTTCCTCGGTAAGATAATCTGCCGGCAGCTGATATAAATGAAGGCAATGAAAAAAGGTTATTTCTCTTTGTGATGATAAATTTGTCTCAATGTTTACATGCGTAAATGTGCGCTCACCGACAAACTTGGAAAGCTGCAACAGAATTGCCGCCAGATGTTGGGAAGTTCGAGGTCAAACCAATTTCGAGAGATTCCGTCATTTTCAATTTATGAACTAGTACATAGTGCTTGCTTAGTATTACTGTCAGAAAGCGAAAATTCACAAGTGTTTGTAAAAATGAAGTGAAGTATATCCAACGGCGTATACAGGGCGTGCCATGGTGGCCATGTCTCGTCAGTTATCACAAAGGCATTCGCTCAAGCACAGGTGCAGCCTAGTCGCCACCCCATCCCCCACTTTTCAAAAATCAAGCGTTCACCCCCCTTTCCCTGACAGTCTTCGTTAACATGATTCCTGCGACTACCACTACAACCCCTCTTCCTGACTCAAAGGTTGGATCCGCCCTGAACTATATGATGTCTGTAAATTGATCAATTTAATCTCTTTATTGAAATAACGAGTTCTCTTGAGGTGATTTTCCAACTTCGGAAAGAGAAAAAAGTCACAAGGACTCAAGGCAGGCAAATAAGGAGGCTGAGGAGCCGCATGAATGTTTTTACTCGCTTATTCACATTGCTGTGTGACAAGGAGCATTATCGCGATTCAACACCCAGTTGTTCTTGATGTTTAGTCTCACACGAATGACCCTTTTTCGAAGTTTTTCCAGAATCGTTTTCTGATGTAGGAGCTGCATTGTATAATAAAATACCGCTTTCAGTCAGGCAGCTACCACTTAGTATATTTAAAGGACAAATCAAGGAGCTCATATATAACTGTAAACAACCTCTTGTTGTTTTTTTTTCTAACACTCTTATCAATTATTAAATTATTTTATTGTAAAGGTGTTTGTAAGCAATTGGTGCCCTGGTTAGGGAGTAAGAACAGCTGCTAGCTGAATCTTCGCCAGGAAAATAAAAGGCATTTTACTATTATTATTATTAAAAGTGTCTATTGACCGTTTGGTCTTGTGCTAGAAACAATTAGTGGACGATTCCGTGGATATCGAAAAAACAAATCGGCGTGCATTTGATCTTAGACTTCGTCTTGATTGCTTTTTTGGGTCTTGGATAGGTTCATCACCAATGACACGTTCCAGAAAACGAGGGTCATTTTCAATCGTGTCCTTTTGGTCTTGCGAAAGGTTTTTTGGAAGCATTTTTGTAAGAGTTTCCATTGCTCTGTTTTGCTGTTGCTCATTTTTAGAACATAATAGAAAAAGCTGTTCCAGTTTCATTACTTAATTTATACTCAGTACTCGCTACATTCATTCCAAGTTCTCCACATCTGTGCTCTAATGGATCCTCTAAACGGTTAATATGTTTGTTGCAATATTGCGCTATACATACATATACAGCGATGGTTTTACATCAGCCGTTTACCGCTTTCCATTTTCCAAGCCTCCACATTTCATTTTCTAGCTGCCCTTTTCTTATTGCGTTAGGTGTCTCGTGATCCCAAGTTCCTACCAGTCTTTCTTTTTTCCTTTTAAATCGTGTTTTCGATTTCCACACTTTTTGGGGTAATCTGTCTTCAGATAATCTTATAATTTGTTTTGTTTTTATACTGTATGTAACCGTTGGTTGTGCATTCATTCTTTGTCTTATATCTTCATTTCTCACTCGGTCTAGAATGGTCATTTAACATCTTTTCCAAAGCGTCATTTCACTAGCACCAATTCGAGTTCTTAATCTTTTGCTTAAGGTCCAAGCTTCCGATCTTTAGGTGACCGTGCTTTCTGTGAAAGTAGAAAATATTCGTTTTTGTTTCCTTTGTAATTGTGTCATTCCACAGTTTGGGTGCAATTGTGTTGGTTAACTCTGCCATCACTAGCAATACTAGATTCTTATATTCTTTTGTATGCTTTATTATCTCTCTATCTGTATCTAGATCCCGATCTTCCGCTGTTATCATCATATTAATTCCAAAGCCTCATTTGTCAAATTCTTCGACAAGTTTTCTGAACAACATAGTTTACATCATCTTCGTCCGCTGGTACGATTACTTGATCGTCAGTAAACAACAGGCTATACAATATATCTTCATCCATTTGAACTTCAAACGCCCTACATTTTAATGGAATCGTCAATATATATTTTAAACAACGTTGGAAAAAAACTGCAACCCTGTTGCAGGGACTTACTAACTGAGAATTTCTCTGAAATATTGTTTCCAACCTTTATGAAACTGCTAGAATTTTTATAATATCTGCGATATACAGGGTGTCCGCAAAGTTGGGGTTTTCCTTTTCAGAAACAACTAGCCTTGAAATAACAGGTAATGTGTAGTGAAACGAGGGCGACCAAGTAAAAAAAATAAAGGAAAAAGTACTCACTCTCCAGTTGACGAGAAGGGCTAAGTACGTCTCTGCCCGAAATCATACCGCTCCAACAGAAAATGAAATCAGCTGATGCGCTACCGAGCAAACGCCGGCGGTGGTGCAGACCACGAACAGAGGTAACAAATATGACCATCGTGCAGAAACCACATTGATTGTCTTACACTTAATGGCACATCTTCTAACAAGGAAGGCAAAATGTTGCGTAAAAAGTCTAGGTATTGCATCCCGTCCAATCGATTTGGGAGAATAAATGGTCCAATGAGCATACCGTTCACCATGCCAGCCCAAACATTCACCGAAAATGTTTGTTGAAAATGTGCCCGACGGACAGCGTGCGGATTTTCTACTGACCAAACATGAGTGTTGCGAAAGTTATTCACCCCATTACGCGTGAACGTAGATTCGTCTGTCACCAATATGCACTTCAAAAAGTCCGGATTATTGTCATGTTGATGCAACAACCACTCACAAAACTGCACTCTTGCTGGAAAATCGTCGTTGGGCGTGAAACGGATACAGCCCCTCTTCACGCAGCGTTTGCCACACTTTAGTTTTTGATACTTGCACTTCTCTAGCCACGTCTCTAGTGCTTGTTGTTTTTTGAAACGCAATCGATTATACGTGTTCGTTTACCTCTACACGCGTGACCGTAACCGTCGGTTGAAGGTTGCATACTGACCTGACACACTGACCCCGACCCAGTTCTGTCGTCGGGTTGAGCTAGTGTCCTAGTACCTCTCGGGGATGTCGCGAGTCGCGGTTACAGGACGGTATTCAGATATTTTGGATGTTGCAGAGCCCTTTATCTCGGTTCCCTTAAGACATTGGTGTATATGGTACTAAGAAAAATTGCTTATGTTTTCAAGATCTACACGTCGTGTAAAGGAAAACCCCAACTTTGCGGACACCCTGTATAATCACATACATATACGAAAAATTTCCATCGGATGGGCTACAAACTCGGGCAAGAATAACTCACGAATTGTACTCGTCGCGGCAGCTTACTTTTTAGGTATATTACATTATATTAAGTAGGATTCCAAACATTCGGCAATTTGCAGCTAAATAATGCAGTAAGAATATAGTTTCTTTAAATGCGTCATCAAAGCCAGCTTCAACTTTGTCTAAAACGTGAGTTCGTTTAGCAGTAAAACATGAAAAACATGATATTTGATAAAATAACTCCAGAGGGTAGATTCTTGAATTGTGTTAGAAAGGAATTTATATTCTGGAACACTTATAGAAAAGAAGTTGCTCTTGTAAGTTTCACTGTCGTCTATCAGTCTCATCTCTAAAGACGAAGTTAACTAGATGATTAAACGTTTAACAAGAAGAACCTATGAACATATTATATTGCTGAAAATGCATTTTCAAACATTTTCAACAAATATTAACAGCTCAGTATTTGAATTTGTCTTGAGAAACTAGTTTCAATTTTTTTAACATCGCGATCCCTGTAAAAATGGTTTGTACTACGCCTATCTCAAAACCAAGTTTTTGTTGTGTCAAAAAATAAAGTCGAACTCGAAAAAAAAACAGATTATCTAAATTATTACCATTTTTTGCTTTATTCTGCTTTATTCGAGTTGTGAAATCGGTCATAGAATTGTATAGATTCAAGTGTTTTGATTACATCTAACTAGGGAATGAAAATGCTCGGAAAACTACCTCTTTATTGAATAAGTTTATTACACAATCCTGCAAAAATAATTGTCAATAAAATAATGAACTCTTGACATCTTTGCGTTATCAGTATACAAATTAATGAACTAACCAATATTCCTAATTCTCTACATAAAATTAAATAAATTATCTTCACGATGTGTTTTATTACTCATCAAGCCTAATACGTACTTATTACATTTATGTTCAGCCAAAACTCTTGAAACTTGTAAAAAATATGAACGAGTAAAACACTAAAATCACAGAAAAAAATCTATTTCAATCATTTATTCATAATGATATAAAAATTGAGATTATCGTATGACACAATCCTAAAAATCTATGTTGATCGCTAGGAGCTAAAGTTTGAATAATCGACATTAAATATCACCACATAAACATATTTTTGTAATGTTACGAATGTAAAACTTCTCTTTATGAACATTTATTCATATCTTTTTTGTCATACAACTGCAATATTCTTAAATACCTAAACTAATAATAAAAAGTTGAGTTAGCAAGTCAAAATGCCCTTATGCGCTTCATAATGTGATTTTTAAGAACGTTTGTTTTTTGAGTTTCTTTTAATGGAACAGTCCTTATTTTTCCATACTCAATCCGCATCATTGAATATTCCATCTTTTGCACGAATTCATGTTTATTCTAGCTTTTCTGCAATGATATAATATTTAAAACAGATTATTCATCATCCTCAGTACGATCCATTCCTCTCTTTCTTCAATTGATCTGTTCTTCCGGAAAGGCAGCCTTTAGATGCTTGCTAAAGTCATATGTGATGACCTTAGGTGCTACGAATCCTCCAAAATGCTCCCTACCCTTGTGGAACACCCCGGCTCCACTTAAAGGCACCGGACGTAGAGATTCTACCTTCTGGGCATCTAAGAACGGAACTGTAGTCTGAGCCACGTCCCTGTCAATGTCCGTATAGGTGAATTCTATGTATTGGTCAGGGTGGCTGTTCGGTATCGAGGGAGAAGGTGACCTTATTGGAATGTCTGGTCTGTCCAGACGCACCTTAGTCCTGAAAAATGGAGATATTGCATTGTTGTTGAACGATAAGTATAACGTATAGTTGAAGTTGACGAAGAGATTAGGTGTTATAACACAAATGGTATATGTTACGACAGATTTATAGTCTGTTTACATTTTTTTCTGCTTCTTTCACATCTATAGTGTAGTCGTCATATGGTACTGGTCTAATGATGAAAGCTGGTTCATCTGTATAAATTATACATTTGAGCAATGTGCAATAACGTAACAAGCAATATATTGATTGTAGAGAATCTAAAATAAATCGCAGTGTTTCGATTCGGGTATAGCAACAAATTCACATAATTTGACTGTGCTATAATACCGATTAGACACCACAATCCGCACCACCACAAGCCAGCAGGTGCATCCAGACGAGGCAAAAAACCACCTTCTCTGTTTTATGGCTTTTACACAACCGCCGATAAAAAATGGATACAGACACTATAAGTTTGTCGCCAACTATATCGCGAGGTGATACGATTGCAACAGGTGGACCTACTACATCAGAAGAATGCATGCTTATTTGTGATAGGAACAAGTGATGATGATAAAATTTAAACCAGTGTATACACTGCAATAATTTTGAACGTTTGGTGTGGAGTGTTAAATGTTCGTACTAGGTTTTTTGAATATATAATCTGTGCCTTAAGTAGTTGCGATGATTAGATGCTATTTTAATTTATGGAATAATCTGCGGGTGTACCAATGATATGCAAATAGGTGCATTGAAGGAATCTTTCACTCACAATCTAACAGGGTTTGAATATCCTCGCAAACTGAAAACCATTTATGACAAAAATATGTAAATTTTATGCAAAATATATTGAAACAGCTTTTTACCTCGGATTCTTGATAGACGAGTCCGTATTGGGATTGTCCTTCCAGATGCTGGACTGCGGAATCAACTTTCCGGTTTCAAAATCGAATTTCGTGAGGTATATTTCGAAATTCAGATGAGATCCTATTTCCTTAAAGCGAACGCCTGAAAAACAGAATAAAGAATGCGTACTCATCGTGTCATACTGCGTCGTTTAACTGCTAAACAGTTACAGATTTTCAAAGGTGATAAAGTCTAGTGTGGTCATTCCCTCACCTGTCAAAATATAACCTTCGTCTCCCTCTAAGTCATCCAAGTCCAAAGCTCTCTTCTCCCACGACATCGTGTGGTAATCCTTACCACTTTGTATATTTTTGTCGGTAATCTTGTAATCTTCGACTGGCTTCCATTTGACAGTTTCTGGATCAATGTTGCCTCTAGGTTGCAATTTACCCTCTTGAATTTGGATGTGGATGATTCTGTTCGTTTTGACGAATCGTAAACCTGTCACCACGCTGCAAAGGAGATCAAATAGATCAAAAATCAGTAATGATAAGGTGTCATACTCATCGACACGTTAGTAAAAACTTGCAACCATTTTGTTTAAAAGATGGAAATAATTAGACGCAAACCAACTCTCTTGATTGCGTTGTGACTGCTCCCCGATGACGATACTGCACCACTAGCCCAGTCGTGTTCGACGAATAGCATCAAAACGTGAACATATTATAGTCTTAATTCTGAATGTCTTTATTTTAACATACCTATTGTTTTCTGCATTAGCAAGTACCGGTCTCATGTTGAAGTATCTATCTGAGTTAGGTCCTTGTTCGTCACAGTAGCAGAAGCAGTACGAACAGTGCCAGAACAACCATCTCCACCAGCTGTCTACTTTGGTAGTACCTCTTGTGCAAGCTTGCTTCCTTCCCAAAACTCTACCGTTTTCATATTCTATGTACTCGTATCTTCTACCACTAGAAGGATCCTGAAATCATTCATTAAGGTTGGGATATGGATATAAAGTTACACTGAACAGAGAACATGACATACATAATATGTATGACTAACAATAAAGGAAGATGTTTAATTCTAGCAAAGAATCGCAAGAAGTCCTGTGATACTAGTATCGAAATATGGGGTTGTCCAAAACGGACGCAGGAAAGTAACCGCATATTAAAACAAGAAAGATTGATATTTAAATCAAGTTGGGTACTTTATTTTGAAGGTTCATACCATTTATGTATGAAAAATAATATCGCTCAAATGTTCACCACGACTGGATTTACAGACGTCCACGCGATGGTCGAAATTTTCAATGACATTTTGCAACATGGTCGGTTCTATGGCATTTATCTCGGCAATGATGTTGTTTTTGAGGTCTTGGAGGGTGGCTGGTTTGTTGACGTAGACTTTGCTTTTCAAATATCCCCATAAAAAGAAGTCCAAGGGAGTCAAATCGCACGATCTTGGTGGCCGTGGCACATTTCCTCTGCGCGAAATCACGCGATCACCGAAGAAGGACTGCAATCGATGGATATTGACCTTGGTTGTGTGGCATGTTGCACCGTCTTGTTGGAAATAAACATCGTCCATATACATTCCTTCAAGTTCCGGCAAAAAATAGTCCTCTATCATCACGTGATATCGCTCAGAATTGACGGTAACGGCGCATTTTCGAAAAAGTAAGCTCCGATGATGCCTTTTGACCACAATGCACACCACGCAGTCACTTTTTGAGGATACTCACGGGGATCTTCGTTCGCCCAGATGCGGCAGTTTTGCTTGTTTACCGTCCCATTCAAAGTGAAATGCGCTTCGTCGCTGAACATGATTTTTGATGAAAAATTGGCATCAATTTGGCGGGGTTCAAGGAGCCAATCTGAGAACCTTCGACGCGAAAAATGGTCGGCCCGACGCAGCTCTTGCGTCAATTGGATCTTGTAGGCGTGTACATTCAAATCCTTGTGGAGAATGCGGAGCAAACTGGTTCTCGAAATGCCCAATTCTTGGGATCGACGCGTTGTTGATTGTTTCGGATCGTCTCTCACGCTCCTTCACAACAACAATATTTTCCGGTGTGCGAACGCTCCTTGGCTGGCCAGAGCCTGGCAGATTTGCCACAGAATCTGTTGCCTCGAATTTACGCACCAGACGACCGATGGTTGTTTCGTTTGGGCGGTTGTTGCGACCGAAATGTTCACGAAGCGCACGAAACGTGTTTTTGATTTTTGCACCATTTTTGTAGTGCTCTTGAATAACTTTAATGCGGTCTTCAATCGAATACGACTCCATAGCGGTCAACGGTAAACATTCAACTAACACAATGACATGTCGGTGACAGAAAACAAAGATGGCGTCTATGTCAAATTGACGTTTACTTTCCTGCGTCCCTATTGGACAACCCTTTATATTTACTTACGGCAGGGCATATCCACATATCAGAATCATAAAAGTGGCAGTTGATAATTTTTCCATTGCATCGTTTTTGCTGCTGACAGAAAAGGTTCTTGTAGCAACCGTGGCTTTTCGTGTAAGTGTATTCAGCACAGTTTTCCCTACAAGTGCCCTCCGGATTCAGATCCACTTCATTTTGGACGTAGCCTTGTATGAGTTGCGTTACTTGCACGTATGTCTCATCTAGAAGAGATAATTTGATCGCGAAACGATGTTAATTTGGGGATACAGAGCAAGGAGGCATAGATGATGCAGATGTCGTTTAAGCATACCTTTGATATGTTTTTTCGGATCGCAGTTCCATAGTTGCCTAGATGAATTCCTCATCGACTGTTTGACGATTTCGATTGCCGTGTTTGCCCTTTCTTCGTACCGTTTTCTCATGGTTCTGGCTTCCGTTGTGAAGTTACCTAAACGTATAGATGATTTTAGGCTTTATGATTACTATTCTGAAAAAGTTTTTTCGGTTACCTTCTCCATAAAGTCTGAGCAGCATATACGAAAACTGTATCATCGAGTAGCCCTTTAGTTCCGTCAACGTTATAGTACTGTAAAGGTTATACAGTACTTGTTGCGGAGACTGTTTCGTATCGCAAATCATGTCGCCTTCCACTTCCTAGAAAATAAAAAGTTTTTATAAAGAATAGAGGATATGCAAAAAATGCTTAGAGACGTACGTATATGTTGCTAACATAAGGAACCTGATAGTTTCACGCTGATTTCGAGGAAGGTACGCTTATAGATAATGAGGATAGATATAAGATAGGGAGATGGTTGTATATTCCTGAAGAAGAGCATAAGAAACTTGGCAGACAAAGCGATATTAGATTCCTGAAAAAGATAGTCGTGAATTATTAAAATTCTGTGCACCAGAAATATCGATATTGAGGATAAAGGCGAAAAATGATTTCTTGTTTTACCTGTCTGACTCCTTGGAAGAGTCCCCCGCTGATAACGATAGCGTTGACCCTTTCCATAGCATCGTTCACACTATAGTCGCCTTGAGGATCGTGTAATACGGCTTCGGCAAAATCGGTCCAGGCCCTTTTGGGCGCCGGGATACGCCCAGGAGCAGTTTGCTGTCGTTGGAACCTCCGGAAGGTCTCGTATTGGGCGTAGACGGGTCGCAGATCGGCCAGGGCCAGTTGTAGGGGCCACACGGACTCTAGGTGGTCTAAGCCAGAGTCCAGGTCGTGAGGATATACCTGGTGGTTGATATTTCGTATGTATATGGTATCTTTGACGCATAGTACACAGAGTGGCCAATATACAACGGACTGATTTGTTGAATCAAATTTTCAATATAGTTTACAGATAGTTACAAGAGATCGTTTTGTGTGTGTGTAAAGACTTTGAGACGTTGTGTCCAACTTACGGCCTGCATTTTATCCCCAAACTCTTCAAATCTCCTGATAAGCTGGACCTCTGGTCCGTTCACATCGATTTCAGCTTCCTTTATGTTGTTGTCCACGTAGTCCAAAATGTACCGCCATTGACTTTCCTCCAAGTCCAGGAAGTCGTACCGCAAACGATCTATGGGGACGAGGTTTTCAGGGACACGAGCATGGGACAAGGAAAGTAGGAACAAGGTGAGGATTATCGGTTTGGGAATCATTTTGTCTCTTGGTTGTGTTGAGAGTCACGTCATTGAGAGTGCTAGAAAACGATTGAGATCAATTGGCGATATTGTGCGATGTTTTGAGGATATTCTTCCTATAGGCAAGCTGGAGTGTCAATGAGATTTGAAAAGAGTGCTCTTGGTTCAAGGACACGCGTTTCTATGGAATTGTGGCAGTGGTTCGAGTCTTAGATACTTGAAATGAGGAAGTTTCTTTGTTTCAAAGAAATATAGCTCTTAAAATTAAAGAATGGACCTTAGTTCAAAGAAATATTTATGTCTTAGAAACATCAAAGTCACAATCCTTAAACCAAGAGCATTTTTTGTGTGTATTAGACTTTTTATGTTATGCATTTGTCATTTAGGGACCTGGGAATTTAACATTGGGTGTAGTTCAAAAGTTTTTTTTTTTGATAATATACAAAGTTGTTGCAATACCTAACTTACGGCGAGTTAAATGTTTTTCAAGTATTTCTGATTATCGCGTAATTTTTATCACAATGGTGATTTGTACTGGTTTGCGGCAAATCCTCATTTGACATTCATTATGAGAATTCTCTGAGGATACAGTCTATTTAAACAACCTGCACAGCATTTCTAAAGTTGCTTTATTACTGAGTTACTGTTACTGAACATATTATGAGAATTACCACCTTTAGAGATAGTTGAGGGGGAATACTTGGAGAATATTATTTATAAAAAATATTTCCCATACTTCTGCATCTGAATAATATAAACCAGCATGACATTTTTACTACAGTTGTTGCTTTTATTCAAGAACAAAGACCGCCACGGGTATTATTTAAGAAACCTAAAAAACGCCAAAAAAACCGACGAAATGTCACTTTTCAAGATACGTAATACCCGTGCCGGAGTGCCTGTTGGGATCTCCATGTTATTTGACATAATGGTAAAACGTATCCGTAGCCTTATTTTCAAAATGGTGCCGAGAAGGAACGACCTGCAGGTGTTTGTCGTCTTTGGTTGTCTGACTTCCGGATCAGATACTTTTTTTTTCAAATACCTTGTTCTTGCGAAATTTCGTATGTATATTGTAAATTGTATAGGTGCATTACCGCATCAATTATTTTTGTCCCACCAAAACCGGATTGCGCAACAAAATTTTATTTGCGCTGTTACGAGTTTAATGAGGATATGATACCATTCCACTTTGTTCTGTTATCATTTACTTTATAAGCATTTACATGTATATTTTATTCTGTGAGGTTCCCTGACAGACCAATCATCATTTTAGATACTTCAGATATGGATCAGGTTCTTTCTTATTATCTCTTATGCAGCTAGAAATTTTTGGTTATTCGAATTTGTTCAATTAAAAATAAATGAGACAATTCTGGATTTGAGATCACACCGGTACAGAAACTAGATTATTACTGAGACTGATCTTTCCGCAAACTCCAAGATAATAATAACGTATTTATTGAACCTAAGGCCATTCACACTTAACCTGGTCTTAAAAACTAACCTAACCTAATTTTAAATGGACTGATTTCAAAAGTTAAAAGAGACTTGACATATTTAAAAGCTTTACAGCATTATATGTAAAAGCGCTGAAACATGTCTGACATGTACTGAGGCATGCAGAGACGGCATTTAGATCTGGTACTTTAATTTTGTATAACACGTCTAGTAACCAGTTTTCCTAAAAGATATTCCGGAATGGAGACTTGTAATCAAACCGAATTCGAATTATTGTGTAGTATTTAACATCATCGACGGTGTTACATGTGAGATGTGTGGACATTGTTTACATATCGACAGCACGACTTTTGCATTTTTTGTAACCCATGTTTGGTGACGTGGGGTTCTGTCCATGTCCCACGAAGAATCCGACTGGACCTTAAAATTTGCATATTTAGCATGATTGGGTGTAAAGTTTTGGGGATTTTCAGGATTTGCCTCTCCACCCCTGAGAAAATTTCCTACCCTCCTCCATTCTTCAAAAAGATTCAGGAACAGACACACTTCCTTGCTCATCAAAAAATGTTTAGTGCACACACAAAAAAATCTTTTATCGATGATCTGTGCCCCTTAGAAAAATGTCTGCAGGCGCCCCTGCCTAAGACCTCACGACGACTTAAAATTTGGTCCGAAAATTCATCGTCACGTGCTGTGGCGAGTTAAAAGTCCGATCAACAAATACAAATTATTCTTATCTAGAGGTACACGTAGATAGCAACATCATCCCCTGGCAATAGAATCTGCGATTAGACCGCTTACCTACCGGAGATACCCGAAAATATTTCGTCACCTCAAAGTGTTGTTTTTTACTTCCCACACATACTGCCGAGGCAGTATTGTAATCGTGAAAAATTTCGGAAGTGAGAAAAACTGTCACTTATTTCCGTCAGTCTGTCTGTCGATCTGTAGGTCTGTCGGTTTGTATGTCTGTCCTCCAATCCTTGGAAAATATTTTCACACAACGTTACATCTATACCAAGAACGCGTTGTAGTGGCCGCAGTGAAAAATGCCAAAAACGAAAAAAAATTGTTCAAACTTCGTTTTGTGTAGATTCAGAGGCTGCTGATTATTTTCGCAAAACAATTTGTAGGGGTTAAAAAATGGTGGTTGGGGGTGGGAGTGGGTATATCTCAGTTTTGTGACGTTGGTATATTTATACGCCTCCAACATTATTGATGCACCTATTAGACATATTTGTTGTTGTTCCCGTACATTTACCCTTAAAATTTATCTCCAATAGTCGCGTGTCGATACGTGCGCCGTGGTTTGGCTGATGGTCGTGCATCGGCAGTCGCTTTTGAGCTGTTGTGCTGTAAAAGTCAATATCGTCATCCACGCGGGATTAGTCATAGCAACGATCATGTGCGCCCGCAGAAATTTTTGTCAGGGGAGGGGGAGAGTCATTTAATTCGTTGTTATACATGTTCGTAGCTAACTTTTTTCTTGGAAGGGCTAACTTGTGACGAACATAATCCTTTACGAACTGACTTACTTTTTTAAATTCGTTCTTTCATGAATGTCATAGTCCTAATTTTGTTTATAATGCTCGTAACCTTTTGAAATTTGTTGTAATATTTTTTGTTTCTTTTTGAGAATCATATGATTCGAAACCTTTTGATATTTTTGAACAAATTTTACAAAAATATACGGCATTACAAAGACATAAGATGATTAGGTGACACAGTATGTTAATTTTTCACATTGTTCAGTTCTACTTGCTATAAACAATTCCTGTATATAATTAAAAGACAACAACGGATATCAAGGATTAGTAATCGTAATGTTTCAATTGGTATTATTCATAGTATATTAGCAGTTCCATTTTCTGTTGACAAATCCTTACGCAATGCGAAAAATGACCAGTTATTACATTGCATTCGATGCAGGAAATCTAATAAGGAAAAATTATGTTGCTTTTTTCGAATTTTGTGACCACGTGGGCATAATTATGCAGGCTGTCCGAAACAACAAGTTCTAGTGGTGCTCAAAGATCGTTCTGTTCACTCCATATGTTTAAGAAGTATTCGCAATGTCTGACAATCTAATTTATTTCATATCGGCCTCACGCCTAGAGAGGTCACCAAAATGTTAATGACATGTCTGTCACGTGACTCAAACATTATTAATGCATAAAGAACTGTTATTATTACGGTTCTAGACTCGTGCTTAATTATCTTTGAAGAAAGAAGACAACTTTATTTTAGATTACAATAGCGGTACTACCAAGAAGAGCAAACAAAAACCAAGTAAACTCAGAGTTATTTCGGACATACTTCGAGGGTTAGTACGAGTATCAAACGACGTTATATAAAATTTTATGAATATCACTTCGAATTGATGCACCATACTCCATTTGGAGTTCTAGATTTTTGTTCTTATGGTGTTAAAGTACGCTAATGATTTCACAAAAATTGTAGATAACGTCTTTTGGCATTAACACCTCGAGTTGTTCTGTAAATTTAGTTGTTGTTTATCGGAAATCTGAAGCAGCATGCAACCACAAAGTCTGTATCAGTAACCTTAGAGATTTAGAGTTTATGTGATATATAAAGCGTAATTTTCATTTTATGTCGGATCTTTTGCATGTGTGATTGCATATTCAGTAATATTTACCTTGGTTTCTCTTGACTGACTTACTTCTAAATACATAGAAGTAACTGATCATGCTAACGTGTTTTGTGATCAGTTATTTATAACTGAAACACCTTCTCTTAGTTTAAATATTTAACAGTGTTAATTAAAGTTTTCAAGTGCTTTTACAAGTGTTGACTAATCACTACTCATGAGAAACATCGAAAAGTGCAGTACTTGCACATTTGGTGCGTGAGCTTTCTAAGTTTCGCAAGATGAAGAGGCATTTTTATATAATACTCTCGTTTGACACAAACATATCGTGCAACTAGCACAACAGATCGATGAAGATTGAGTCACCTAGTATATTTCAAGAACACAAAGATATAAAAACTCAAATAGCCGCAGCAATTAAGAAGCAATTTTCTGTAATCCTTATTTGCCGTGCAGCTATTGTGTCGTAGGTAATTTTAAATCTAGAAATCACGATTATATTCAATACCTTGAAGATATCACTAAATTCTGGGAACGATCGAAACATTCACAACGGTGTTTACAAACAAAACCGACGTATGGAATATCGAAAGTAGAAATCACCCGTATTGGTTGGTTTGTATTCGATTAACCGAAACAGTTGAACAGCTGACGTACACCGAACAACGTTCGAGCGCAGACTACTTGATTTCATTGAAGTAAAGAGGAAATATTAGGTAGCCGTCGGACAGAGAGGTAACAGCACGGGGGGACAGAGGGCACTGAAAACTTATGGTATATAGGCCTTTCCCTATAATAAAACTTAATAGTAGTAGTCACGTTTTGTTAACATAACCATTGATCCTTCGAGCCGGATGATTGGCCTATCGTGCCGGATAGTCTTTTGAGCTTGGTAGTTCGGTAAAAGCTCATTGTTGTCAACAAGTGATGCCTCAGCAGTTTATGTGGCTATGAGCTATGTTAGACTTATGGTGAGAGTCAATTCACGATATCTCAGTTGAACTTCTATTCTATTATGGCTCATAAATATTTTTTTACACCTCTGACTCTATGAAAGCATGATTTGTTCAAAGCTCAACGACTCTGCGATAATCGGTTGAATTTTTAATGAACTGCAGGTAATGCCAGACTTGTACTAAAACTTGCAGCGAAAAGCGTTCCATTGATATTTCATCGGTACCCATTAAGCGAAATGGTATCTAGCGGCGCCAAGAGCAGTTTTCCAATTGATACCAACAGGTCTATCAAATGGATGAGACAAAGTCATAATGCACAGTTTAAAGAATAAGGAATGACTACATACAGAGTACAGAGGCAAGGTGCGATCCTGAACAGGTACTTGTCGGCAGTGTTGCCGAACCGAAAAAGGCGAAACCGGTAGACACTGTCGTGGAAATGCGGTATATTAAAGGACAAAATCGTTATGGGCATCATAAGATCAGCTATGGATCAAGAGACTTTACGTCACGCAACGCCCTCTATAAAAAAAGTATATCTTTGTATTGCTCGCACATATACAAACTCCTTTGCTACCATTATTGAAAGTCCTTTTGTCATTTTTGTTTACCAGATTCTGAATATTTTCCTGTTTCATTCCTGAACTTGAAGCCTTATCACCTGACACTTTAATTTAATATTCAAATAAATACAGACGAGCTTTAGTTTCCTTACGCTGTCTGGTGATGCGATAATGATCTACCAGTCTGTTGTACACAAAAATCAATATAGGCATAGCGTAATAAGGGATGTGAGTACATAATTGTGGGCAACCCAAATCTACGTGTCTCATGTGCCCGACTCCCCAAGTGTACGCTTATGTATGACTGGTGTGGGGCATAAAACTGCATAGGCCGTTTAGAGTTAATCTTTTTTCCAGCTCTTTTTCGGTAAAAAATCTGGAAATATCTTGATTATATTTGAAAAATTGTTGTAAATGGGGTCGTCTTCAGTATTTCGGTAAATAAGGTCTCATTTCGGTAGAAATACCGAAAAATCGATAGGTCTGGCAACATTGCTGGTCGGCATCACCCGCCGACCACTGTTAAGAATATCTTCTGGGGATTTAAGAAGCTTATCAAATATGCAACTGAATATCCCCATGAGTCTCAGGCGAATATCGTACGATCGGTATTTACTGTGATCCATCAGTATTTACCATGGAATGTGATATTTATTGTGCGTATAGCCAGGACGTCAGTACTTCTTGATGTATAAGGTTAGGTGGAAATCCATCGACACTGATGGAATGATCAGTGAATTAATGCTGATGGCATGGACCACAGTAAACATTGATCGTGTGACATTCGCATTAAATTTTGGAACAATCTTGAAGTGGAAACTGTCTGCAACATGTTGCAGCACAAGTGTCGCGGATTGTGCCGTAACTTGCGCTACAAAGATTTGAACTTCATATGGATCTATAGTGTCGTATCAAAACGGAAACAGAGTGTCGTTGATTATGGTGAGATCCGCGCGCACCGACTGTGCCGATACAAAGGTCTTAGCAGTGGCGTACGATGTGTTATGATACTCTCTTCCACTTTGGTATCCGAGTATAGTGAGTGCAGCGAGTCTGTTATCTTTAGATTGGCTATAAATTCCTTAGCATGGGTTAGATCGGTTAAACACTCTCAGAATTAAGGGATTTTGTTTTTCGTCTCTGAAGAGGTCATATTTTAAGCTGTATTATATGCAACTCCAATACATGGTTCTACTAGCCCAATGTACCAGAAGATCGTCTGTTTTATCATCCTTCTGACCAGCCTGTACTGGTATCGGATATTTTCTCTCATCCCTTATGAGACCATTCAAGTATTACGTAACCGGTTTTTTTACAATCAATATCCATCCCTTGCCCTTGTCAGCAAAAGTAAGCAAATTTCTTAACCTTTGCTTACGTAAACATTTTGGTAGATTTTATAATCTGATGCAAGTATTGACACGCACATATTTAATTTAATGTCTAGAAAATGAAAAACATCTGGCTCGCCCGACCCAACTTACTTTGCAGTAACATGATAACAGGCCATTTCCATTGAATTCCATACCACTGCTAATACATTTCTGGCAAACTCAAAATCGGATGTTTCTAAATGTTCATTAATGGTCATGAATCAATATCAAGCCAGTCAGTTCCCGAGTAAGAGGGGCCACAAGCAAAACGAAGATGAGCAATGAGTGGAATCATTTGCATTGAGCACAGCTTGACTAGAATATTTTCTTATGATGCGTCTAAGATATTTGGCTATAGAAAAAGAGAATAATTGACTTGCTAGCCTTTAACATGCGACCCAAATGAATATATTGTGACCCCCCTTCCTGAAGCACTTTCTCCAGCCTTGATCCTTTAATCAGACTCCATAGCCTTGACGCAGGGCCTTGCGTGTAGCTTTCCACTGTTGGATTTACTACTATTTGAAACCGAAGCCTTGCCAGTCCTTCACAGCGGCACAGGAGATGCACTGAGTTTTCCTCATGCTCTCAGTAGAAAAGGCATGCAGCCTCTTCTGCTAGACCCAAGAGCCTCATATCTCGATTTAGACGACAGTGTTCTGTTAGGAGACCCACTGTGGCCCTTATCGCCTTC